AAGATGAAAATGTCGACGATGATTCCAAATTCCGGGCTTTTGTTGCTGTCGGATCACTGGTAAATTTATGTTCTTCATCTGGTCATTGAGAAGATGCAAAATTCTGTCATTTATTGCGATGCAAGTGAAGCTGCTTTGCACATTGCAATTCAACTTCACGTCATTGATCCATTGCTTATACATTACAATTTGCTTCCGCATTATCAAATTAATTTATCACCTGTCTACTATTGATGTCACGAAGCAAATGTTTGTTGGGTCAGTAGCTGCAGTGTCATACCGTAATAGATGGAAGACCTTGGTTTTAATACACTGTAGTTTCTTGAACAAGGGGGTCCTTGTGTACACTAGCTTATGAATTGCACCTTGGGCTGGTTTTCTTTATAGATACTTCTATATTTATGAGAAGGTGAATTGCTATAACTTCTTCCTATCTCAAACTATAATTGTTGAATCCTCTTGAAACAGATGCTTGAGGGTCTTGTAAAGAAAATAGCACTGGACTTCGATGTCTTGAACATTGCAAAAGCGGCCAAGAATTCAAAGGAAATAAAAATTGCTGAAGTGGGAGCTGACATTGAGCTATTGACAAGGAATGGTTGATTCTTTTGTCGAGGGTGACCAACCTCTCCTCTTCCTCCAAACTGAATGCAAGTTGTATTGAAAGTTCAATTCACATGTCGAACCTGGATTTTTTTTTTTTTAAAAAATAAATAACCGTTACAATACTAGAGAAATTAAGGTACCCATGTGCCAAAATCCACCTGAATTCATCATTATTCATACATGATGGTAATTTTCTCTCTCTTTCTTCTCGTTCCCTTTTTTCTTTCCAGGATATTTGTATCAAGGGGTTTTTGACTGATGGTCAGCAGGCAATATAGGTGACTAGGGCTTGTGATTTGCGTTATTCTGGCGGATGATTATTGTGGGATCTTTTTGAAGACTCATAGCAGCCACGTGCCAAAACCCAGAGAGGTTACATTAACACCCAGAGGATTCTTTGACAACGACCCTCTCATCCCGTCAAGAAAATTGTTGAATCTTTTTCCCAATTGCTACCATTTCCTGGGGACCAAATTCTTGTTCCTACTTTGTTGCAAAATCCGATGAGAGATTTGCTTTTATTATTTTTCCCCTAAAAATTGCTGGAGTTGAATCATACACCCCCAATGGACAGAACAAAAAAGATAAAAAATAACAGCCCATCATATGCTGTTACAGAACAAAATAAGTTAAATTATTGTAGAACAAGTGAAATTATTTTGTAAGTAGTGGTTAAACTCTTAAATTTGTATATTTAAGTGAAAATAAGTGTACAAATTTGGCCAAAAAATGCCTTTTTTTTTTAGCCAAAAAGATGCCATTGATATTTGGTAAGAAAAATGAAGCGATTAAGTAAAATAAATCAATATTGTAAAGGCGAGAAAAAAGATGGAAAGATGTAAGTGTACTAAAGTAGACAAATTAAATTTGATCCTAGGATTGCAATTTAAACTCCAAAATTCACTTCCATTTGGCGTAGAACTTTTCATCACCCCACATTAACATTCGTTTCAACGGGATATGAACAACCCTTTGTGAAAGATGCAAATGTCTTGGAATAATCCTCTTCTCCGGACTATACCCAAAGTGTTGAGGAAACTCCATCAATTCGTCCACATCCGTTTCATATGCTTCACTAGATACTCAAATTTTGGCAACAAATTAATCTCAAGCCCATATCCAAAGATGGTAGCCGCTTCCTCCTATGAGAAGCCTATGCTTTGCAGAAATGTAATCTTATTTCAAAGCTTCTGTTCCGTCGTGCTCAACAAATGAGTGCTTGGGCTGTCAAATTGGTGGGCTGGTTCAAATTCTCAGCTCCTGTTCGGCAAAGAAAGCTGAGGGTTGGCCGAACACAAAACTCGACGTCCGAGAAGAGGATATTGGGGCGCCGGATGATATAGGCGCATGATTCCTTGACACAAGTGAGAAGCTTGTGAGTTAAGAAATAAAAAACGGGAGCAGTGTCGGTGAATTGGAAGGTGTTGAAAAAGAGTTGAGGGCAGAGGAAGGTGAGCTTGGGGAAATCAGTGTCGGAGAAGCCCTTGGATTTGAGGAAATTGGCAGTGACTAGAATGTGTTCGACGGCATCGAGGAGAGGGAGGCTGTTGGGTTTGGTTTTGGGGTCAAAGAGGATGACTTGAAGATTGTATTAGAGAATTTACCTTAATACTGTGAATCTCTTAGATGCAAGCTAGTGTGGTTTGATGTGAACATGAAAGTAGGGACTGAGATTTGACATAGAACTAGTACCAAGAATAAAGATATGCTTTAGCGTATACTCCCTCCCATCTCTTTATAAGTTATTTTTATTAACTTCATTAATATCAATATAATAAGAGTACAAAGAATAATTGTGAATAAAATTTTAAAACTAACTCTCAAAATAAAAAAGCAAAAAATACAATCAATTAATATAATATTTTTTTAGAGTTTCTCTTTCATACTTTGAAAAATGAGTAAAGGTATTTTGAGAAGTTTAATTTAAAATGCAGAGTTAGCATGAGTCAATAATTTATATTGTGGACTATGTGTTGTTTTTAGAACACAACTAATAAAGCGAGTTGGAAGGAGTATAATGTAATAGAATCAAGGCACATTTTACATTTAACGAAACTATATACGCTATAATATAGAGGCTTCTGTGTTTTCAATCATGCGTTATTTTGATCATTAAAAATACATTAAAAGGTTATATAATTACGGAGTAGAAGCTTGAATTTGAGGATATATTGCTAGGTTTTCATGCAAATTTCATTTTCACCCATGTTTTCATATCCAAGAACTTAATTTATCTTAATATCAATTCTGGTTATTTTGAAAAATGAATAAACAAAACCACAGAAATCGTGGGGAACGTCACTTTTCAGGATATCATGAAAGTTTGTCGGGGGAAAAAAATGTTGTCCCATATTTTCATTTATAGGATGTTAATTTATCCGAATATCAATGTTGGTTATCCTGGAAAAATAGTTTTCACGAGGCTAATTTACGTATATGTTGAAGTGTGGCTCTCATTGAAAAGGCTTGCATTTGGCAAAAGAAATATTGCACCTCCTTGAAGACCCTCTTCGCCCATCCCATAATGTCTTCATTGGATGCAACATTCTCCCATAATGCAGGCTTCTGTGAATAAGTTTTGGCACTTAAGGAGGAATTATTTAAGAGGTAATTTATCGGAGTAGGGGTTTCTTATTTTTCCTTACTATCCTTTTTCCTTCATCACCGTTAGATCTAAGATTTTCAACTGTTCTGTTTTAATTTTGACAAATTATTATTATTATTATTATTTAACACAAAAATATATAAATAAAAATATTATAGTTTTAAATTGTTTAGATCAAATTTTTTGTGTGATCTCTAGTATCCGAGGTCAAACTAAGCTGACTGGCAATTGAGGGCACCCCTGTTCAAATCAAATTGTAATAGTTCAAAATTATTTATATATGTTATGTAGAATTATAATAATTTTATCAAATATTAAATCAAAACAATTGAAAGGTTTGATCTAATGGTAATAAAAGGAAAATGAAGGAAATGAAGAGTAAGGAAAAAGGAAAGACCCCTTTCCCTTCATTTAGCTACCTCCCTGTAAATTTTCTAGCCTTTTGAGTTGAAAAATCATATACTAAAATTTAGTAATCAAGTAATTCTAATATTTTACTTAAAATAAATAATATAGCTAACTTATTTAATTTATTTTGTAACATGATTGATTTTAAATAAGATTTAAGCAAATTGAATTTTAAAAAATCTTTCAATAGTAGCAATTGTTATTGGTGTTGTCAATCATATTCTATAAGTAATACATGCATTTGGAAAGTAGTATAATCTTTTAATATAGTTCAATATTTAATTGGAATATTAATAATTCTTCTAGTAACATTTCTCTCAATACCTCCAATTCTAAAAATAAATTAAGGTCATCAATATCAAAATGATCATTAAAATTTAGGAATTTTTCAATACTAACAAAAATTTTCAATTCATCCTCATTTGAAGACGTTAAATTCTTAGTGAAAATATGTAATTAAGATGTTAATAAGAAAAATAATGACATGTTATATAGAATGAATAAGTAGACATTTTTTTAGACATAAAGCGATAGCCTTAATGGCCTAACAGTCCACACAACTTTGCCATAATGTATAAATATCTTCCACAAATGCAACATACCTTTCACGTGATGTAATAATTTGCAATGAAGGGTAATCTGATAGCATATGCAAGTTTTCTTTCATGATATGCAGCTTATCTTTCATCAAATGCAAGTCTTCCATAAGTGCAAGTGAACAATTTCTATAATTTTCTTAAGATACTAGGGGCAATTTGGACATTATATAGTTTCACGAAAATTTTCCATTTTTTATTTTAATTCAATAAGGTTAATTTGTCATTTTATACTTTCATAAAATTTTCATTATTTTTTTTTTTATTCAATAAGATCAATTTGATCATTTTACACTTACTTTATCCTTCTTAAAATCGGTCCCCAAAAGAGATTTGAGGTCCTTTGTAGCAATAGATTTCTTTTAGAAACTGATGAGAAAAAAGGTCCCACCGAGATTTGAACTCGGGTTACTGGATTCAGAGTCCAATGTCCTGACCACTAGACCATGGGACCTTGTTGTCGAATGGTTCATGATAAAATATCAAGTTTGCTTTTTTAGAATAATATGCAAACCCGGGACCAAATAGACGTGGTTGATAAACCGATATACGTGTCTCTAATTAGATTTTCTTTTTAATAAAAGTTAGTTACCTATCTCGACTCTCGAGTTTATTAAGGATTTGGATACTGTTATTAAGAACACATTTCATCCCGTAAAGTTTTCTTACATTATTATTATTATATTTTTTTTTTTTTTTGGTTTTTATTTCCCTTAAACAATCAGATTCGTTTCATTAGCGCGCTAACGTTCAATGTCTTTTTGACATAACAAAAATATCTTTTCTTGGGATAAAACTAACCGCTGTGGTCGTTATTCTTCTATCACTGAACTCACACACGGCCCTCAGCTTTGCTCGCCTTCGATTTTTCCATCGATGAAGTTATTGCATAGTCCCATTAAGCCCTCAATTTCACTTCTTGATAAAACCCATTTCCTCAAAGCCTCTCTCTTTCACCCCTCCTTCAAATCCAAGCCATTCTCTGACTACACCCGTATCTTAGGTCTCCATGGACAGAGGACCTTTCTGCTTCCCATCAATTGTGCGCTCAAGAATCCTCAAGACCTCAAAAATAAAGCGAAAAGTGTATCCAAGAAGATTGTGTTATCAGAAGCGGCTCCACCGTCTCTAACTGACGATGACGACGGCGTTCGGGGTGGCGGAAATGGGCAACCTCCGGAAAGCTCGGGGAGTAAAGGCGGTGTTTCTGGGATGGGGAAGATGTTGATAAAGAGGGTATTGACGGTTCTGGCTAATTTGCCTTTGGCTATTGGGGAAATGTTCGCCATTGCAGCTTTGATGGCTTTGGGTATGCAAATTAAGTTTCTCTTCCCTTTTCTATTTTAAGGTGGCTGAATTGAATCAAAACTGTTTCTCATCGTAATTGCTTAAAATGTGGAGCAAATACACCATTTAATCCCTGAAAGATACGGTTTTATGGCTTTTCTGTCGTTGGCCCTCCCTATTGGACCAAATTATATAGTTAGTGCTTTGAGGGAATAATATAATACATCTGTGGTGGGATATAAATTGTACGTGTACTTGGAAAGATGTTTTTAAAGTGACATTCGTCTTAAAAATCTATAGCACTGCTGCACTAAATAAAAATAAAGCACCTTTGCCGTCAAGAAGAAATGAAGAGGGATTTCAATGAAGATGTCAGCTGCTTAAATTCCTATGTAGTGGGAAAAATTTGCGAATATGTTGGAATTTACAGATCCGCCTTTGATGGGAATTGGACCATTATGTTGGAGCAATCAAGGGATTTGGCATGATTCCAGAAATCACGAGGGTTTACCAGAATCAAGAATTAATGTGAGATTGATTTATAATTGAATCCCAAAATAAGAGATATTCCTTCACAATTATGGTCATTATTCCAATCAATTATCCCTTTCATTATGAGACAAGTTAATGTCGATTGAGTTTTCCTTTTCTGCGGTGGCCTCCCTTCACTGTAAATAGAAGAAGGTGGCTGAAGGAAGAACTTATCTCAGAGTGAATAGTTCTCTCTATGTTTGTTCTCCCTCTCTTTCTCTCTTTGATGTTCTGCTGTGCACTTGGTTTATACTCTAGTAGTTTGAACTCGTTTGGGTAATTGGGTAGATTCTACTACGCCTGAATCTAGCAAGACTTTGACTTGACTCCGTTATTTGGTTTATTATCTATGTTTAATATCCCTTCAACTAAGATGCTCCTTTTCCTTGTCAATTAGAAGATACATTTGCATTCAACTTCTTTTAAAAAGAATCTTGTGAATGAACTTGGTGAAAGAAATGCTATTGTGACTTTTGTGTCTGCCATTGGGCTTTACTATGACCAAAGTGACCAGATATGGATCTTCGTAACAGGAACCGTTATTGATCAAGGTGAGGCCCCAGACTTTTATTTCCAGAAATACCCTGAAGGTCATCCCGTGTTAGGATTTTTTACTTGGAGATGGGTTCTTACCCTTGGTTTTGATCACATGTTCTCATCACCTGTATTTCTTGGAATGTTGGTTCTTTTCGGTGCATCCCTTATGGCCTGCACTTATACAACACAAATCCCACTTGTAAAGGTTGCGAGAAGGTTGGGCTATGACTTACAGCTTTTACATGTCTGAGATGGGATATATATACTGTTTTTGGTTACTAAAGGCCTGCTTTGTTTCATAGATGGTCATTTTTACACACTGCTGAGGCCATCCGTAAGCAGGAATTTTCAGAATTGTTGCCAAGAGCATCTGTCCAAGATGTGGGCACCATACTGATGGGAGCTGGATATGAGGTAACAACCTCAAAACTCTGCTATTTTGTTTTCCCCCTTGAACTTTGCCTATACATTGCACTTTGCTCTTAACAATAAAATTGCGATGTCAGTGTTGCTGTTTAACAAATCACTTGCGAACATTGAAATTATATGGATCTGCCATATTACCAGCAGAATATACCAGATCCTTTTCTAAGACTTCCCAAATATATATTCAGTTGCTCAACTAAGGTGTATCATTCCTTCAAAATTAATATACTAGGCTTGGCCAGCTAAAACTATTATGCTTTCCATTGGTTTTCATGTATTGTGTCATTGAAGATTGATCTTCATCAAATAAAATGAGTGGCGGCAGTTAAGGAAGAAATACTTGAATTCTTGGAATTTTCAAAATGAACTCAGTTTGTATAAAGCCATGAGGAAAAATAAAGAGTTCCAATTCAGTTTTAGATGCCCTAGGACAAGTGGCAAAGTGCTTTGCTATTGACTAAGGAATAATAATTCTTAGCTACTAGCCAATTATAAACTTGAATCTCTTTCACCATCTCAACTGGACTACTTTTGATATTGGATTAAAGGTATTCTTGAAAGGCCCCTCTCTATATGCTTTTAGGGGGCTTGCTGGTCGGTTGGCCCCCATCGGCGTACATTTAGCAATGCTGCTGATAATGGCTGGAGGAACACTCAGTGCAGCTGGGAGCTTTAGAGGTTCAGTCACAGTGCCGCAGGGATTGAACTTTGTTGTAGGTGATGTTCTGGGTCCATCTGGGTTTCTCTCTTCTCCCACACAAGCCTTTGATACAGAAGTTCATGTTAACAAATTCTACATGGATTACTATGATAGTGGAGAGGTAAATCTTAGGTAAATCGTAGATGGAAACAACCTTACTGTAATTAACAACACTATAAGTTACGATGGTGGATTTGCAAAGTTCTTATTTGATTACTATCGGTCATATTGTGGAGATGAAATTCTCAGTTTTACTTGCTTGAACTGGCTGCTTAATATGTTATTTCCATTTTGGTTTGTTACAGGTTTCCCAGTTCCACACCGATCTTTCTCTCTTTGATATAAATGGGAAGGAAGTAATGCGGAAAACGATTAGTGTAAATGATCCTTTAAGATATGCTGGTATCACTATATACCAAACGGATTGGAGTTTTTCAGCACTGCAAATTCTCAAGGACAACGAAGGACCGTATAACTTGGCTATGGCACCTCTACAGATCAACGGAGATAAGAAACTATATGGTACATTTTTACCAGTCGGTGATGTTAACTCACCTGATGTGAAGGGAATGTAAGTAGTTGAGTTGTGGCTTTTACGTTTCATTGTAGATAGCAGATAAGGCTTTGAGTCTCTATATCTTCATTTATATATGATAATGTGAAAAATTGTACCAACGCTAAGGTATAACATTCAGTGTTCGCAAGCTCAAAGGCACGTTCCTTCAATTTTTTTTTTTAAATTTCCATTTTAATTTACAAGCAAGAAAGATTACAGAAAATAGATATTGGTAAAATTTGGAAAATTGGCTATAAGAAGACATTTAAATTCTGAGAACAGGGAAAGCTCTCTCTCTCTCTCATAAACGTCATCAAGGAATTAATTGTAAACATTCTAGAATAAGTGTAGATAACAGTGATAAAGCAGAGTAGCTGCTATGAGTTTCTTGTGGACCACTGCAAGAGGCTTAAACTACACAGCTCTTTCTAGCATGAATTGTATCTTCATGTTTTTCTCATTATTTTTACATCTGTCAAATTTCAGATCTATGCTTGCTCGTGATCTTCAATCAGTTGTCCTTTATGACAAAGAAGGAAAATTTGCAGGAGTTAGACGACCTAATTCAAAGCTCCCAATCAACATCGATGGCACAGAAATTGTTATTGTTGATGCAATAGGAAGTAGTGGCTTGGACTTAAAGGTGCTGCCTCAAATTTTAATTGCTCTGAACTATTTAATTCTACCTTAGCTATAGTAAATTTATTGCTATTAACATTACTTTTGCAGACCGACCCTGGTGTGCCAATTGTATATGCTGGATTTGGTGCTCTAATGCTCACCAACTGCATCAGCTATTTATCTCATTCCCAGGTGAAATTTCTGCAAAAGATTTTTATGCATTTATGTTAAACATGGGCCGAAGAAAAGGTTTTCAGACAAGACGGTGGATATTTTAGTGTCACAGCAGCTCTAGAAAACGATTTTTTTTCTTTTCTTTTCTTTTTAAAATCCCCCGGTCAAAGAAATGGACAGTCTTCTATTTGGTATAGGATATTAAAATCTTCCAGTCAAAGCATCTTCTATTTGCAAGTAAGATAATATTAATGCCAATTTTTTTGGGGTTTACAATATTAGCGTCATTTTCAATGCAGCAATTGCTTTGAACAAATGACATGAAATATATTATTAAAATGGAAAATCCTTGAAATTCTTGATGCAGTATGACTTGACAAGCTTGCTTAGTGGCATCTTAGCTGAGTTTCAATAATGTTCATATGATTTTATATTGAAGCGTTTGCTTAATTCTGTGGTCAATTCAAAGATATGGGCATTACAAGATGGAACCACAGTGATTATCGGAGGGAAGACTAACAGAGCAAAGGCTGAATTCCCGGAGGAGATGAACAGCTTGCTTGATAAGATTCCTGAAATTGTTGAATCTTCAGTGTCTGAGCAAGCTGATGTCATTAGTGGCTAGCTTATAGCTTTTGAGACACCAAGGGTTGGAAGAGATAGCCGTTACATTTGGATCATAGCAGCTTTTACGGATCACATAACAAAGATGAAGTCCAAGGCACTTTGATTTTCAAATAGAGATTGAACTCCAATGAGTTGCTCAAGCATTCTTGGCTAATCAGCCAAGAATTATGTATACTATTGCTGATACACATTCAGGATATGTTTTCAGTTTTGTTGTATAGCGCAAAATGTATTCGGCTCATTCGGCCTATGTTACTTTAAGACAGATATTTGCATATATATATATATATAGGCTGCGAAGACTGGTCTTTCTTCATGAATGTAAGATTATTTTGCTTTCCCTAATCCCTTTGGTGTCATTTCTTCTATTTTTTTTCCTTCCGAAAAATAAAATCATTTATATTGTCTCCTCGGTTAACTAAAATGCATGAACATGATCATTTTTCATAGTTAATGAGAGTAATTCTTTTGCTCCCATAAATCACCGCTCATTTTGTGCACTGACCTTATGAGAGATGGACCAAAAATGCAAAGCGAAACTCATATGCGAACAATCTCAAATCAATCGCGATCCTAAGAATTTTTTGCTTTTATTGCCTTGGACCACAAAAACTCAAAAAACGTGCTACATTGGGCAGTTTGTGTTATTGGGCTGGATTCTGTCAGCTACCACCAAAAACACATAACTTTAACAGGTAACTTCTTCAAAGATTTTTTTTTTTTTTAACCAACAAGATTTAAAAAAAAACAAAGAAACTTCTTCTAAGATTTCTGTAGTCAAGACTTGCTCACGTTGATCAGTTTCAGAGTACATGGGATTGCAATATACCATGAGCAATACAATACATCTCGTTTCACTCATACTTTGACGAAGCTCTAGCGGAACCACTTACGCGAGGTGCAATGCTTCTTTACGTTTAATGTCAAACACCTTGACAAGAATATCTTCAATAACCTGTTTGAAATGCAAAATAACATTAGTCAAATTGAACAGGACGTTCTTGGGAAAATCATTGTTCACTAAGAACCTAAAAGGAATATGCAAGCCGTTAGAAAAGGCACGGAATGGGCCACAAGGCGTGGTCTAATGGTGTTTTTTTCCTTCTTATTTTTGGGTTTTTTCGGGGGTGGGGGGGGGGGAATTAACGGGAACAATAAACCAAGAATAAAAGCATCAAATTTAGTATGTGAACTAATAAAACTATTGTTGCTAGCAGCAGAACTACATTACAGAGATTTACTAGAAGAATTAGAATCAAATACCAAGAAGATTAGTCACATTACCTTGTCTGGTGTGGATGCACCAGATGTTACACCAATTGTTATTGGACCATTTGGCAGCCAGTTTTCCTTCTCCACCAGTTCGCCATGCTAATAGAACAAGAAAATTAAACACAATATTACTTTATTAGTAGCTTAGGCCAAAGAATGCTAGCGGCATATGACAATATATGGATTTATACATCCATGCCTAGTCACTTACATTTAATTTATATGATATCCTGTTCCCTTCAATTCTTTGCTCATTGTCAACCCAGTAAGAAGGTATTCCACGTAACTCAGCTATCTCTTGCAGGTGCGAGGTATTGCTGGAGTTCCATCCACCAACTACCAACATTAGATCCATATCTTTCTCCACCAGCTTGTACATAGCATCTTGTCGCTCCTGAAACAGATTGAAGAACCAACTCCGCCAGTGATTAAACTGAACGAACATACAATGGCCAGCAAATTGACAAATGTTCTGTGCATGCCGTTAATTGACTTATACTGGGACTTAAAGGGATGTTCGTCATATGTTAATGAATCTAGAATAACAAGGAACATCAACGACTAAAGAGGAAAAAGAAATAGAAGAAAGAAAAACTTCAAACTACCTGAGTAGCATCACAAATTGTGTTGAAGCTTATGAAGTTCTCATTGACGTTTTCCACACCAAATTTGCGCATTATTGTCCTCTCCACTAGTTTCCCTGAAAAAAGTGTAGTAAAGAAATATCTCCAGTGTTATATATATATATATATATATATGGATTTTCCCCCCCTTCACAAACGAAATTTTGTATTGATTGAGAAATAATAGCTAACCAATCTCTTCAGTCTCTCCCTTGAGCATTGTTGTCTGATTAGCAATGCCCACTTTTATCAGGTCAGTATCTGGATCGAAGCCTTCAGAAACTGCAAACTTAAATTTCTGCAAAATGGAAATAGCCAATAAATAATCATCAAAGTGATTACCCCAGAATTCAGTGAACATGATTAATTGCATGACAAAAAACTATACCTCTAAGAAGGCATCCTTTGTTGAGCTGGATCCATTAAGTTCACCACCAAGAATGTAGTCACAAACATATTCAGCCTAGACAAAGTTAATGAAGGTGCACATTATAGCATGATAAAAGCATTAAACATTTTATATCTCTGCACTTCCATCCAACATAAGAATTTAAAACTAACTGCATCTTTAAACAAACCTGTTCCATATTCTTCACAATGATATACTTTCCCGCAAAAGATGCAGTTGCTACAGTCTCCTCATGGGAGTATTTACCGTGTATGATAGAGGTATACTCTCCTTTCTTGTGCTTCTCAACAGTATTCCAAACCTTGAAACATTTTATTGAAGAAATCTAATCAGAACCCAGTAGTGCATGAAGCATGATAAATGAATTTATTTTAAGCAGCTCAGCACAACAAAAATTCATCTCCGCAGATAGATAAATACCTTTGAAACCCATGGACAAGTTGTATCAACAATTTGGACATGTTTCTCACTCAAAGTCATCATTTCATCCACTGCAGCTCCAAAAGCAGGCAAAATCACAACATCACCCTTGTCTACAGCATCATACTGTTTTTTTCCTTCCTCCACCGGAATATTCTGCACTTTCATCTCCTCCAGCCTCTGCATTTAAAATTTACAAAGTCCACTAATGATTGTAATTGACTAGAAACAGTGACACTGCATTTTATATTGCCTGAAAAGATTGCATGGTAGAAGAAATAAGACAATGATCAAGATAACCTAGTAAAATGACAAAATATTTCAGGACCTTAGAACGGTTTTCGTCGACGACAAAAACTGCATAGTATAAGATCAAGTATCGATCCAAATATCGGATTCTTAGTTGAACATATCTAAAAATCTCTCACAAATATAACAACAGGGACTTGCTTCAATTTGGCCCCTCTAAAAAACAATGCCCTCACATAAGACGAGTCTCAAACTTTCAAAATCAGATAACTTTACTTCCTCCGAATGATTATCAGAACACTTCTTTGGGGATGTTTTTAACCAAATATGCCCATCGCATACCAACTAGAAAACCCCCAGCGGGAGAAGGAAAGGTGGGCGGGGGGGCCTCCGTATAAAGTCAAGAAAAGTTATTGACCAAAAAAGAGGGTCGAGATCAATAAATGAAATCAATAGAAATATGCAGGGACCTTGTTAACAGTTGGGTTGTGAATGATTTCGTTGGTAATCCATATTTTCTCGGTAGGAAATTGTTTTCTCGCTTCGTAGGCAATTTGAACAGCTCTCTCGACTCCCCAGCAAAAACCATAGGCTTCAGCCAACCTCACCGTAACGTTACCCCATGTATACTCATTTCCATTTTCCTTCAAAGTCTTAACGATGTCACCTGAAATTCCAAGCAAAGTCATACAAAATGAGCCAGGCATGACAAATAATATGACGCTGCCTCTCAGAAGGAACCTGTCAGTCATTATTAATCAAGCCCGAAGTATAATAAGCATGAGGCAGTAGCTACGAGATCTAATCTCCATTCTCTGGAAATTAAAGAAAACATATCAAAGTCCGTAATAGTCAACAAAGCATACTTGTGTACTCCTGATTCATCAGCTCGAGGGTCTCTTCCTTGTGACCAAACCCTTTGCGGTTGTAATTCTTACTCCTGGTGAGGTTCTTCCGGAACACCTTGGCGTCGAAATCGGAGTCCACAGCCATGGAAGATGACGAAGAATCACCGGAGCACTGGACTGAGAGATGCCTCCGGCATCGAAGACTTCCGATCTTAGGGAGATTCTCGGGCAAGGCAAGGTCCGATCGCGCAGATGGGAGACGGCAGAGGTGGTGAGGAGCGATAGCCATCGGAGCTGGAGACAGAGTCACGCAAGTCAGCAGAATGGGCGCAGAGAGTTGGCTCGGACACATTTTATAACCGATGACCTCCGACACAACACGTGTTTCATGAATTTGAATTTCTAAAACCATCAAACCATTTTATTAAAAAAATACAAAACTGCAAGAAATTAGTAATAATTAAGGTTCTCTATGTCTAGTACTCGGACAATTGCACTTACAAACAATGCATGTTTTACATCGTTACTAATATAATAATTAGTACCTAAAATAGGGCAAGCTAGATTCAATGAAATAATGTAAAGTTAAAGAAAATATCTATACGTTGTATTATAGGTAGGTATAAAATTTGGTAGTAATTGAATCCTACAGTTATTACTAGTTTATTCAAATATGGTAGTTTATTCAATGAAATCTACACAATCAACAGAATGTGATGATTTTCTGGTAGGTAAGAGAAAGACTTACGAGACGTGACTGAGGCTGGGGAGCTTAGCGCGGAGGACCTAAATGGCACAGATTCTTTTCTTTTCTTTTCTTTTCTTTTTTATTTTTTTTGGTACACCTGAACTAATGAGAGTGATGGCATGGCGGCTGGCACATTTGGCGCGAGGAAATTAGGAGGGAAGCGACGTCGTGTTGATGAAGTTGACATGTCATCCCCGGTTTTTAGGAAACTAATTTAACCGCCTGCCCCTCCTTCAACCCTACGTGTCTTTTTTTTTTTTGGGCCCCGCCGGGGGGGGGGGGGTAAACACGTGTCTTGTTTAAATTTAATAATTCGATCTCATTCATGCATTTCAAGATTCACGCGATAAAAATGATGGAAATGGAATAGAATGATGTGCTTGTTTTTGTGATTTATCTTATCATTTTATTCATCAGTTTTCGTTTTTATTTTTTCCCTCCTAATATAGTTTGTGCATTTAATTTTGTGAATTTATGAGAGATGTTGACTTGTTGGAACTTGGAAGTCTTGGACTGGAATTAATCTCCCGAATTCATCCAAACATTCTTACGAAAAAATGTATGCATTTAAAGCTTTAGATAATCTCTAAATGAACCTAACTAATACTTCTTTCGTCTCAAATTATAAAATACTTTTAAAAGAATTTATTTATTTTAAAATATAAAAAATTTTGAATAGATTAAGATTTCGTTAAATATATAAATTTTAATATTATCCTTTCTCTTTATGTAATTAATTTTTATCTTTTCTCTTTTCAATATATTAAATGGTGGGTATTTTTAAAATTTTATATTTTTATTTTAAAAAAATAATATTATTAAATATATTTAATGAGGTTTAATGATATGTAAAATTTTGTCTAAAAATATCTTATAATTTGAGATGAAGAGAGTATTCATTTTTTCTATAATTACTAAGAGTTGAATCAATTAATTTAAACTAGTATCTATGAGGGGAAACTTTATAGAAGGATCTACAATCATTGATATATTGAAATACTTTAGCCAATCTAAAATATAAGTATTTTCTCCAGCTTAAAATATAAGTAACTTATTATAAATAATTTTTTTTCATTTTACCCTCTTATTTATTAACCTAGATCCTTATATAAATTTATCTCTCACACATCATAAAGTGTGTTAGTAATTGGAATTAGGAATACAAAAAATAAAAGAATATATCTTTTTATGAAAATAAGGACTTTATTGATATCTTTTTAAAAAAAATGTTTATTTTTTGGACTAACATTTTGTTTCCATCTTTCTTTTTTCCTTTTTAGATTTGGGATGCATCTTTTGGCATTCAACAAGTTTTTTTTCTTTGTTTTGTGCGAGGCATTCAACAATTTCAATAACGCTCATATAGAGTAGTTCTTAACAATTAAAGAGTTTTTTTTTTTATTGAATTGAATACTTTCCCCTTCATAGTTCGAGTTAATTAAAAATAAATACACATACATGATAATATAATATATGAGATGAACTTTTTTTAAATCGGTGCCAAAATTGAGTATCTGGGAGGAAAATAAAGTTTCTGGTGAAAACCAACCCCCCCCCCCCGGGTTTCTAATTTTATCCTGTGGAAGTTTGATAGTAATAATAATAAAAAAATAGCAATGTTTTTAGTTGTACTCCTATTTTTATATTTAAACCCGATCATACTTATTTTTGTCTCTGCTGTAATTTCAATCCCCAATTGATTTCCTGTACTTGTTTGATGTACGTAGACCAGACTTATATTGCTTGAATTTTAGCGAGCAATAGCATCAAATCAAATGCTTGCATTCTATGCTTTTGTTGAAATAGTTTGCCATTATCTCTGCAAGCAATAATGGGTATGGTTTAATACCTAACTTGAAGGATCCAAGTGTAAAAGCAAATTTCAAATTACTTCGTACAAGAACCAACGTAACCCATTATTTGTGGAAGAGAATTGATGCCAATAGTGCTAATTGGGAAGATGGAGGATCTTCAACTCATTTATTGGTAAATTGACAAAGAAAATTAAGATGCGGGGTGAGATAATGCGGGAGATTTGATAGGAGCAATCTAGTATTTTTAAATTTACTATATTTTAGTGGTTCTTCCTTCTTAATAATTATAATTTTTAAGATCCTTTTTAATGAATGTCATTCTTGCTTGGCGCTTCGCTCTCATTTTCCCTATCTGCAAGCAAACAGAAAGTTTGATAAATTATCCAATAATCCTTGTCAGTTTCGGAAAAAATAGTTTTTTTATGGAAAAATCACATTCAAAAACCCAAAAAAAAAATTATTAATAGATAAAGACTAATAATAAGTTTTAGTTGGAAAAAAAAAACGCAAGTACATGTTTCTATTTTAACAATAATTTATTTTATATTGATCTTTATTTGTGAATAATTTTCTTCTCAGGTCATTGAATGTGATTCTCCCTTCTTTCATCCTTTCAAAAGGCTCAAACATTCTATGGGTAAGGATTAGATTAGAGGACGAAAAAAAAAAGGTTCAATCATAAAAAATTTACTTAATAAAGAATGAGTTTTTCCACTCAATTATTCAACTCAAGAACAAGATTTGTGTCATGAGTTGAAGATCATCGTGAACAAGTGATTTGGGATTTGCCTTGCTCCAAAGGGATTATAGCTTGATTTATTAATAGTAAAAAAATGTTAATAAGCATTTTGGACCCTAAAGTATCAGGCGAAAAGTACCCTAAACTGTAAACTCCTAAAATATGTAAAATAAATTCTAAACTTTTAAATTTAAAGCAAATTACACCTCACCATTAACTCATAGATAACACCATTAACTGTTGACTTTGTGGGATTCAGTCAAATGTTAATGTAGCAATCTCTTACTGATGTGTCATTGGTTAATAAGCATCACTAACTATAAATTATTGTTTGAATAGTATCATAAATTCTAAACTCTTAAAATGTGTAAAAACTTTCCTAAACTTTGAAATTCAAAGCAAATTACCCTTATTGTTTATACGCAGAATGTTAATTGTTATGTAGATTAAATTAGCATTAGTGTAATCTACCACAATGAATGTATCATTGGTCACACTAAATAACCTAGAATTTTGTGAAATGACATTTTTTGTCCCTTTTATTGCAATGTTTTCTAAACGATTAGTATATCATATTTCTATATATTATATAATTCTAATTTAGTTTTATTTTAAATAATGTTTATTTATTTAATGGTAAAAATTTAGGATCCTATTTGAAAAGAAATTTAAGTATAAAAAGATTTTAATTAACCAATTAATTTAGGTTTGAAATTGAAGATTTTACTAACAATTGATGCAAAAATTGACTATTTCATCAATAGATTCAAGCAGAAATTAAGGTTGCAGAGACTAAATTATTCCTGTATTATAGAGAGATGCTAAAAGCTAATTGAGAGAGATGCAATTAGTGTTCTCTTGAATCCCTCAACTGATGGGTTGAGTAAAGGTGGATAGATGAGGGCTTCGTTAATATGTGAGGAGGGATGTCACATCATCGAAATGGTGGGGGGTAATTTGCTCTAAATTTCGTGGCCCATTTGATTCAATTCCATGCATCCATATTACAGGTAATCTTGATGTAGTTGGCCTATTTCCTATGTTTGGTTGGGCTTGGTAATGTAAAGGGGATTTCATCATGTAATCCTGATTCCCTTAAATGGCGGCATCCGGATTACATCGCCAGACTATATGAATGAGGATTATAGGATGAGAAAAGGCACTATTACCCTTGAAATTGCTCGCCATCACTCTTTGCTAAATGGACTTCTCGAACAAGAAGCAGGAGGAAGAAGAAACATTGGCTGTCGTCATCTTCCATCAGATCTGCTACTGCACTCCTTTCCTTCACCACCAACTAGACCTCTCTCATCGTCCACATTGTTGCTGTCATCCACCTCCAAATCTCGCATTGCATCACCTCATTGCCGCTACAACCTAGGCCCGCCATAGTTAATGGAGTGGTGATCTTCATTAGCATCCCCGTTTAAGGCCATCAAAAGCTTGCTGTCACCATTCGTAGGTTCTCCTTCCAGCGACTTTACCTTAATCTTTTTTGTTTCTATTTTTTAAATAGTTGTTTCAATCAAAAGAAAAAGGCTATTTCGGTGGAAAGGAAAAGGACAGAAGAATGGGCTTTTTTTAGTTAAGGTTAATTTTTCATTTTGTTTTTATTTGCATTTAATTAAGTTTAAAAAATAAATTTAATTCCATAATTCCCAATCTCATACCAAACAAACTCATGTAATCCTAATTGCATTATATTCCATTACATTTCCTTTAATTCAATGAACCAAATGGGCCATCAAATTATATGGGAGTTTTTGTATATTTTAAGAGTTTAAAGTCTAGGATGTTACTCACATAACAGTTTAAAGTTTATGGTGCTCATTAACCGATAATACATTAGCAAAGGTTTGTCATAATAGCATTTGACTAAACCCTACAAAGTCAACAATTAACGGCATTATTTATAAGTTAACGATCTGGTGTAATTTGTTCTGAATTTAAAAGTTTAAAGTTTATGTTGCACATTTTAAACATTTAAGGTCTAAGGTGTTTTTCAAGTAATGCTTTAAGGTATGCTCATTGACTTTAAAAAAATGATGAAACAGCTATTTGATAAATTTCTATAAAATAAAATAATTAAATAAGCAAATCAATCGACTTATAGATTTTGACTAGCTAGTTCAAGATTGAATTAACCACTTCATTTTTCTTCTAATTTTCCTTTCATTCCAGGCTAGACCAATTCACTAGTTTTTCAATGAAATCGGCCGCTTTGATATAGTGTTTTAGAACATGAAATTTCACCCAAGAAACTTAGAATTTTTCCCCACTTGACCCAATCCTCAATATTATATAAACAATATTCTAAGATAGACTAGAATTCCTGATACTTCTAAAATGATTTTGTAACGATATTTTATGATTGCCTGATCCAAAAGTCATGTGGGTGGCATTTAAAAATTAGGACAGTCAAAGGAATTAGTCAAAAAATATATGGAGAAAGCTTTTGGATCTAAGTTGATTCATTTGATTATGGCCAGAAAGAAACTTAGTTTGACTTATGCACAGTTATATGTTAATTATATAGATATGAAACATCTCCTTTTATTCTTTTACTGTTCAAATACCGAGTTGCAATATATTTCGAAAATCTTATTTTATAATTTATCTCTCAAAGAAATAGATGCCATTCAAAATTACAAATAAAGTTCAAAATGCTGAAACTATCATACTTCTTATCTGTCATAACCAATAAAATAGTTAAGCATGTTAAGAATTGAATTCCCTACCCATTCCAAGGATGAGGACATGGTATTCTTAAAATGAGATTTGAATCATCTAGATTTTAATATGGACAGTCTAGATTTAAAGTATTATTATATACTTTTATATTATACTTATTAAAATAAAAATTATAAAATATTTTTAATAATTTTTTTATTTTTAATCTAGTTTAAATTTAATTTAAAAGGCCTAATTTAATATTAAAATTTTCATAATTAATATGTATTAATTATTCAGATATACTCTGCATATATCAAAACAAATACATTTAATACATTTTAAAGTGTTGATAATATTAATAAATTTTTTTATCACAGTATAAATAATTTATAAAAAAATCACATGCCTTGACTTCATCGTAGGTAAATAACTTATTCTTATATAATCATAACTTAAAAAAAGAATTAGATCAGTTAGATTTTTCCCACTTCGCTGCCGCTTAACTGTGATGTTAAAAATTATTAAAATAGATGTCTACGAAAAATTGATTAAAATACATGCACTCATAGATAGTTCCATGGGCCTCTCAATTACAGTGATCAATGATACTAACACTAATTGTGTTGTGAAAATTGATGCGCTACAAGAGCCAGCCCAGCATACAAGTTGGTAACACAGAAAAATACGGCCCAGTATCCTCGCGTAACTCTCTTTTTACGGCATAGTCGTTTTTACCTTACACTGAAGATTACTAAGAAATTATATGAAAAAAAACATAGTACTTTATTCATATATTTTTATATATTTTTATATTTTTTTAATGTTTTAAATTTCTATATTTTTATTTTCCCGTCTAAGATTTCTTAGGGATCTAGAATACTAAAAAATAAAAATATAAAGACCTAAAATATCAAAAAAAAGTGTAAAGACCTATAACAAAATATGAACAAAATGTAGGGATTAAAATGTATGTTTTTTCTATATATATATATATATATATATATATATAAGATTTTGCCAAGACACAATACAATATAATATAATTATGGTACATATCCAGAAAATTTCCTACCTATACAAAAACTTGTTAACTTTGTCAAACTAAATTATAAAATAATTTTAATAAATTTTTTATTTTTAAGCTGATCTGAGATTAATTTAGAGGATCCAATTATTCTCCTGTTGGAATCTCTCTCTTGCTTCATCTTAACTTGGAACAAGCAGCAAGTTACTTGTAAGCTTTCTAAAAACTAAAGATCAATTGGGATCATAGCATCCCTTTGTAACAACTACTTAAAACCAAGGAGAGCTTCATTTAAATTCTATATCCATCACCATCATATTTTTATTATAAAGTGCTTTTAATCATTTCACTGACATAAAATAACTAAATTTATTTAAAAATAGAACAAAATTTTAATTTTATTTATGTTTAAATAAAAATTTGTTAAATTTATGTTACATTTTTTTCATAATTAATTAATTTAAATAAAAATAATATTAAAAAAATATAATTAATATTCGTCAAATACCATACATTAATTTTTTTTAAAAAAAAAACACCCTATAATAAACGTTGGAGGAGTATACACTATAAAGATTGCCAAATTACGATTGAAATTTTCTCCACCCATAATTGATTTCATATGTGTATTGGCAAATAAAAACTAGAAAACAACTAATCACATTAGTCACAGTAGATAGAGCCTGTGGATCAAAGTTGGACTACCTCCCTGCCAATTCGGGACCGGAAAACTTTCAATGATTTTATCGAGAGCAGTTATTCTAATGCCTATTGAATTTGGAAGACTCGAATTTGGGAAGTACGATAATGTGCCTGTGACGTGTGATGTGGGGGCCATCATATCCGCTTGTGTGGAGGGTGGTGCTCTGGCCGGTTCAGAAAGATAGCCATGGATAATGATCAAAACTGCTCAAATCCCGATTCAATATTGGTCACCCATATACAGAAAAACTTCCATCTATGTTCTAACCATGGAGGGACTCGCCCTGCAATCACTGACCCTCACATCCATTCCCTCCTCTTTATCGCAAGGATCGGTTTTGGAGAAACCTTCTGGTTGTGTCAGGGTTCTCAGACATTCGGATTTGAACAAGTACCCGTGTACCACAAATGGCTCAAAGCTCAAAGCTCGCAGCATCAGAGCTAAAGCTTCGGGTGAATTACTATCCTGCATTAACGTTATCAAATCGGTACAATTTCCCAAAAATGTTTTGCTTTCCGTGCGTCCTTGATCTGTATGATCTTGTTTTAGGTTCAACAACATACAGTCCAAACGCGGCGGAGGCCGTTCCTGGGAAAACAGATTCCAAGGACGACAACCTAGTTTTTGTTGCGGGTGCCACTGGTAGAGTTGGTTCACGAACTGTGAGGTACGCTTCTTACGGGGCATTTCATCTTTAAGTGGGCTCAGATAAATTTTAGGACCATTTTTGCAAAATGCTCAGTAATGCTTCATTCAGGGAGCTCATAAAGCTTGGCTTCCGAGTGAGAGCTGGGGTGAGAAATGCTAAGAGAGCGGAATCACTAGTTCAGGTAACTTTTCTGTGTAGATAAGAGTAATGTGATGTTCTTTTCTTAAAAGTGGATAGGTATGCGCTTAATTACTATGTTAACATGCGCAGAGTGTTAAACAATTGAGACTTGATGCTGCGGATGCAAGAGAAGGGGGTCAACGTAAGTCAAAATGCTTTGAAGTCCTCATCTAGAGAGTCAAGAAATGCTGATATATTAAATAACAGGTTGTTTTTGGCTTTTAGCCCAGCTGTAGAAATGCTTGAACTAGTGGAATGTGATTTGGAGAAAAAAGTTGGGATTGCATCAGCGTTAGGGAATGCATCAACCGTAATATGCTGCATTGGTGCCAGTGAGAAGGAAGTTTTTGACATCACTGGACCCTTTCGTATAGATTATCTAGCCACCAAGAACCTAATCGATGCTGGTATAAGAATTTTTTTTTTATTACTGTATAATTTCCAGTTTTATTGTTCGATGTTCTCTGCACATCAAGTCCTTGTAAAAAAACCACTGTTGAAATTTCTGATGGTAAAACCTAATCTTATGAGTGTCCTTGGTGTATGATATAGATTTTTGTTGAGATTTCAGAATAACTGTGACACGTGGAGTAGTTCTAATAGCGTGTTAGGAAAACTTCGTCAAGCCCTAGTCATACAAGAAGTTAAAAAAGTTATCAGTTTTTGTCATTTTGCTGATGATTTATGATTTGTAATCAGTTGAGTTGCATTATCCTAAATGTTGCAGCAACTGTTGCTAAAGTAAATCACTTCATATTCGTTTCTTCTTTGGGAACAAACAAAATTGGCTTTCCTGCGGCTCTTCTCAAGTGAGTAAAGTTTTATTGAGTGGTAGTCTTATCTGACTCTTAAATTTGCATGATGTAGTTCATAGCCAAGTGATACAGTCTTGGATATGAAGCTATATGTAGATATTTTTAAGCAGTTCAACTGATTTTTTAATTCTCCCTCTGAAGTTTGTTTTGGGGAGTTCTAATTTGGAAAAGGAAGGCAGAAGAAGTATTGATATCCAGTGAACTTCCATACACAGTGAGTCGTTATGATACTAATTGCACCAAGTACAGAGTTCTATGCTCTAATTGCTACATTTCTTCAGATAGTGAGACCTGGAGGTATGGAAAGGCCCACTGATGCTTTCAAGGAAACTCATAATTTAACCCTTTCAACAGAAGATACTTTATTTGGCGGTCTGGTGTCAAACCTTCAGGTATTCATCATGTAAAATCATTTCGTGGGTTTACTATTTATTTATGATAGATAGCTGGAAGTTCTTAACTGTTCCTTTTTCGATCTTAATAATGCCATATTATTATAGCCAAACGTGAGCGTTTACCTCTATGCAATGCAGCATGTTGGAATGTTGAGTTGAGGTTTCTAAAGGATTGAGTGATAAAACTCAAGTTTTGTAGTTAGACATTGAACCATTTTTATCTAATCCATAACTTTTGATTCCTTTCGTTCACATACAGAACAAATTATCTGGATGAGATTTGTAACTTTATTCAGGATGCTGTGCTCCTTACACGCTTCAATTCTGAATGTTAGATATACCAAAGTGTTAAATTTTGCTGCATACAAATACGATATGCATGTTGTTGTGATGGACCTTTTATGTGAAATACACTACGATCTCTTCTTTCTTCTGAAACTGCATGTTAGGTTTTGATTTGTTGACTGATACTATCATAGAGCATAATTAACATGTATTGATTTATTGCAGATTGCAGAGCTCTTGGCAGTGATGGCCAAGAATCCTGATCTTTCATATTGCAAAATAGTGGAGGCAATTGCTGAGACGACTGCACCACTGACTCCCATGGAGGAACTTCTTGCAAAGATACCTTCTCAACGTGCTTACAATTATCGACCCAAGGTATTACATTTCTTGCATAGATAGTACAAATTAAGTTAAACTAGGTCAGAAACTTAATTTTAGCGTCAAATAAGAAGGTTTGTTTTCATCAGACATTAATGCTTCAGTTCTTCCTGGTTATGAGTTTAACTTGTGCTGGAGTCATCAGTTGCTTTAGCTGAGACAAATTATTTCAAATCTAAAGGATTAGATTGGATCTGAAATTTCAAAGTTCATCCTTCCCAATTAGGGCTACTCATTAACTATCTCACCTTGTCATTATTTACTAGAACTACAAGTTTATTAACCTTTTATGGGATGATTCAGAAACCAGATATTGCAGCTGTCACTGATCCAGCACCCTCTGCTAGTGTTGTGGTAGAGGAACCCAGCATTACTTCTCAGAAAGAAACTGCACAATCAAAACCCGTGACTAAACAGCCACTTTCTCCTTATACTGTGTAAGCCAGATTACTCACGTTGCCTTGATAAGAGATTTTATGTGTTATTCAGTGAGAATTTGCTGCCCCTCTGATTTTTCTTACTATTGAGAATTATAAGGAATAGTGCCCCACCATTATCTGTTCTCCCCTCCGTTTAGTTGGTGGGTCCTGGGGAGGTGCGTATAGATATATAAGAACATTGTTGTCAGCCACCCTTCTCTTTGGTTTTGGCAAATATTGAGATGGAAGCTACTTAAGCACAGGCAGGAGAGACTTGAGATGTGGCATTTTGGCACTACCTCCATTGTGTATTCAGAAGATTCAGTAGTTTCATCTGTCCTTTTTATTTAGATAAGTGTTTTCTATGTAGTTTCTTGTTGTTTGTTAATAGAATTAGCACACCAATGTGACATATGAGACCTGAATTTTTGGTTCTGCGTTTCCTGTGTTTGGTTCTGGATAAAGGCTCATGTGGGCTATAAAGCATAATAACATGAATTTTCTATTTACCCTTTTCAGTTATGAGGATTTGAAACCAGCATCATCCCCTTCTCCAGTGAAGCCTGATACAGTGCCAAAACCTAGTGCTTCTGATACTCCAAGTAGTATTCAAGAAAAAAATGTCATTTCTCAGGCATCCGCCGCAGCAGGACGTGTGGCGGAGTCTCGCTCTCCATATCCAGTGTATGTCATTAGATAAGCACCTTTCCCAAATTTTATTATTCATTGTTGTCTTTCTTACCTACAAGTTTTTGTTTGGGAAGGTATGAGGATTTAAAGCCTCCCACTTCACCAAGCCCAACACCAAGTAGTTCCAATGATAAACCTCTTGCTGCCTCTACAACGGATTTTGCACCCCAATCTCCAGAAGCTGAAAAAACTACATCCATCAGTTTTGCCGAACCTAGCCCTTCTGAGGATTCATATTCTTCTAATTCTCCTTACCCTGTGTAAGTCTTATTTCATTCCTTTTATTATTGGTCCAGCTGTAATTTAACTTGGCTGTTTTCCCTACATTATGCCTCTTCTCAACTTGGTTTTCATTTTTGTAGTCCAGTTACCCCAACTCTTACATGTCTTGTGCAATCTCAATTAGATTTTCTTCTTTACGTTGGTATTCTCTAAGGCCAGCTATTGCTTGCAGATATCCTGACTTTAAGCCTCCTTCTTCACCATCCCCACGGGCACCTAGTGTATCACTCTTATTGGTGCCTGAGATTGATTCAGGTAATGGCCCAGCAGCTCAGCTTCCAGTAGCAGATAAACCAAGGGATGAGCAAAATCTTCGTGAACCAAAGCCAAGACCACTTTCTCCTTATACCATGTAAGTCTCTTCTTTGCTTGAAGAGACTTCTGTGACTTTATCTTTATCATCATGTTCAGGCGGATATGCTTCTTGACGAAAATAATGCTTGTTGAATTGAATCTGTGCCTGTTTATATTATGAGGAACATTTATACATATGCTATGTTTTTCTAATGTGTGAACGTAGTAATATTTTCTTGGACATGCAGGTATGAGGACTTGAAGCCTCCTGCATCACCGTCACCTTCCCCGAAGAATCATATGAATTAAATACACATGGAACCAGTTAAGGTTATAGTTCATGTGGTATCCAACAAGGGCGTCAGATTTGGGTACAATATGACTATTTTAGGAATAGATGTCTCATCGGTTCTGACTTATAATGAGGCTTGCATGTTGTGAGGAACTAAATTCATTATCGTGACAGAATTGTTCCCTCAACAAGGAAAATCATGTTGGATGAATAAAAAGTTTAAGGAGGCACTGAATTGAAGAGTGGAAGCAACATGTATGCTCATTTCTTCGAGAAATTAAGTTGTTATTGGATGATTTTTTTTTTTTCTTGGCGGAAGAGAACGAGGATTACTGTTTGTCAATTTTACCATCTTCATGAATATATATTTATCTTCATCAATCTTCAATTTAGCTTCTCTTGTTTTAAAATTTACAATTCGGTCTCCATGATTTTAAATATTTTTAATTTAGTCAAATCTAGAATGCAACTGAATGTAATTTGGTTTCTCTCTATTGCCAGAAAAAATGATCATCGCTTGGAAATTTTTGTAATTTTTTGAATAAAAAGTTTAAGGAGGCACTGAATTGAAGAGTGGAAGCAACAAGTATGTTCATTTCTTCGAGAAATTAAGTTGTTATTGGATGATTTTTTTTTTTTTTTCTTGGCGGAAGAGAACGAGGATTACTGTTTGTCAATTTTACCATCTTCATGAATATATATTTATCTTCATCAATCTTCAATTTAGCTTCTCTAGTTTTAAAATTTATAATTCGGTCTCCATGATTTTAAATATTTTTAATTTAGTCAAATCTAGAATGCAACTGAATGTAATTTGGTTTCTCTCTATTGCCAGAAAAAATGATCATCGCTTGGAAATTTTTGTAATTTTTCAAATTGTTTGTTATATCAATATTTTAACGGAGCATTGGTTTTGTTTTGGTATTGTTTTATGTTTCATTAATGAAAATAAGTAGGTGAAGCATCAGATAATTTATAAGTAGTAGTATAAGAATGTTTTAGTTGTTAGCTAAATGTGCGTAAAGCTCAAACAGGGATTTGTCTTTTTTCTTTCCTTTTTTTTTTGGGAGTGAGAAAGGCCACGGTTGAAACTGTACAAAAAATAACAATTAAGTTATGTCAATGCTTAAAAAACTATTACACTCTAAAGGTAAATTATTTAAAATCTAAATATCTACATTATCTCTAATAACATGCCTAGCGAGCGAATTTGCACAGTTGTTAGCTTCTTTATAGATGTGATCAAGGGTAATCGTCCAGTCTCTCATTATCAAGTCTCTAATCCTTCTGATTGTTTTTGAAAAAGGGTGATTGTCGTGGTAATCATGATGAATGAGAGAAAGAGTTTTTAAAGAGTCAGTATAGACATTAACTTTAAACAACTTACTGGTCCAACACAGACTAAGGCCTTCTAGGGTGCCTTAAAGTTCATCAACAGTGTTGGGGTAGTAGCTAAATTATTTAGAGAAGCCTTCTTTTTCCTTTCTTTGACGGTGGTTGGAGCTCATCGTCATTGTGAAGATAGATGAAGGTCAGAGTAAACGCATTAAATGGACGGCACACGATTGCAATATTATTTGCGATGAGGATGTTGTAAGGACACAAGGTAGCCAAAAGAGTAGTGACATGGCAAGTTACATTCCCCTTGTTTCTGGATTTGAGTTCAACCAATTATTTTTCTGAATGATGATTTTATGGTTTAGATACAAGTTTCTGACTTACATATACTCCCCTATGAAAATATAGATATCTACTTCCTGTTTATTATCTTTACATTTATATCAGCCTGCGCATATTTTGGGGGAGACGATTTATAGGATAAAGTTGAATTTGGATTTAAACCTAAAAAAGCAAAGGATTTCTGATGACGTTCTGAAAGATGTCTGGTACACTCCACATTCACAGTCACAGACAAACTATGTTGTGCTTTTTTGTATCACGCTCATTACTGTGTATTAATTACACACACTTTGATTTGTTTAGGTGACATGGTTTATTTCAACTTTTGAAAATTGTAATTAAGAGAAGACCAAATTATATCATTATATCCTCATGTATAAATTATACAAAATTATGAGAGTATAGATGTAATTCACTTCTCAATTTCATACTTAAATATTTTTTTTTAACATATTATATATGATTGTTGTTACAGCACTATACGAATGTCATATATTATTAAAAAGAATATATTCCAGATTTGATATGTAGCCAACTTGCATTTGGAGACACCATGCTTTAACGGATGACCACCAACAAGCATATTCATTCCAATTCCAGAATGTCGTCTTTTGATCATAAAGCAGACCAAAACAAAGGAAACAAAAAAAGAAACAAGACGAAGCAAATCCTCTCAAAATTTCTGCATTTTTTCCCAACAATCAATTTATGATACCAACTATTTCCGGCAAATCATTCACACACTCTTCGCTGCTGGTCAATCTTGGGAGTAGATAGAAAACTCATTCTTATTCGATCTCACACGTTAAATCTTATTAAATACTGTCATTTTTACTCTCCCTCGATCTCCCTAGAGTGTATAAGGAACTTGGTTGTTGCAAAAGGCTAGAAAAAAGATAATAAAGAAAACACTTCTCGATCATACGATAAAAATCAAGCATGATGGAAAATTTATTCTCTCGAAGCTAGCTAGCCATCCATATGTACACTTTTCACGGCCTTGCAATTTCATATTCAGTGGTAGAGATGAGGAGTATAACAATTTGCATATTTGCACTAAAGCATACGATTCCTAATCTATGCCTTTTTCTCTAAAAGATCACGTTGGGAACTCCAATTAATGGTGCAGAAAGTAAAGGACTATTGTGGTTCTGTTTTTCTCCCCTTGTCTCTTGTACAACTAGAATAATCATCGATCGACTTGTTCCTTCTAGAAAACCCCAAAACCACGTTAAGCATTAGCTTTATGGTGATCTGTAATATGAATAGTGTACGTGCAGAACAATTTCAGAGTGAAACAGAAGATTGAATGATCGAGCGGGTAAGTGCTGCATGGGCCTCGATGGCTAATGCACCTAACTCTTGAAGTGAGAGTGGGATGTGAGATTTAGAAAGTGGCATGAGAAAATATATTTGCCCCACTTGAAGCTCTTCACTCGGAGCCACATGGGGCAATAGTGAGCCTATGTACATAGAATCTGAGCTGCAGATGAAGCAGTTTGGGTTCTGAGACAGAACATGCTCTGCTTTCAGTGGCTGCTTCCACTGTTGGAGCTTACCATCAAAATGAACCAAGTTCACTGTGAATTTCCAGCTAAAGTTTCCATCTTCGTTTTTGCATTGAGAAGAAGCAGAGGTGCCCATCTGGATACGAGTGAGACAGAGATAAAGAAGTGGGTTTGGATATAGCTGTGGCGCGAAGAGTTCGGGTATATATAGGAGTGAAGAGCATAACGGTGGCCTTTCAAGTGAAATTCCAAGTTAAGTGAATGTTTGTACCAATGAGAGGATTTTGGGGTTGAAAATTCTGGCTTCGGCACGTTCCTGTCTCTTCCTTTTTGTTAACGTGGGCCTTTGTTTGCCTTTTATTTTGGGCTCTTAAGTGTAGTGTTTGTAGCATCATTCTAGCTTTGAAAATAATGATCTCCTTATCAATCTAACCATTTCCCAAAAAAAAAAAAAAGAAAGTGAAATGAATTAGCGTTACTGTGAGTTGTATTGATAATATGTTAAATTGTTAATAAAGTTGACCTGGTTGCACGTTCACGTGAATCAGGTTTCGCTGACATTGAAAATCCGTGGCAGAGATGACTTGGTTTAACTTTGAGTTGCTCAAAACTACGGGTTTAAAACATAATGCGAGTAGGGTCAAATGATTTTTGTTCCAATACACTGATTATGGCCGAAGCAACTTTGTGTAGGTTTGGGATTAGTTATCCGTTGGAAAGCATTGAATGCGATTTAAGAAGTCTTCGTCCGTGCTGGAGCTGCTCTCTCCCCCGTGTTTGCGTGAAGATCTTTGTCAATAATATGATGTGTTATCAATTTACTCTTATGGCGTGACGTACTCCAATTTGAGAATTTCGGCTTTTGTCAACGATCTTCCTCCTCGTATTAAAATCTAACTCGGGTTGGCCGGTGAATTTGCAAACTAATCTAATCTCCCAACTGGTCCGACTAGGAATTTTGTAAGAGTAGGCCGGGGTTGGATTTTATATTTTTCTCCTTTTATTGAGCTTGCAATAAGTTCCTTTTAAAAAAGTAGCGGTTCACAAAATTTATGCTTTACTAACTCTGTTTTGGTAGATTATATGTTTATCATACATGACCGTTCCATGTAATATTTGTGGACTAATCTCTTTAGAATTATATATGAACATTTTTGTGTATTTTAATTATAATAGGGTTGATCTTAATTCAACTATGAATGAATCATTCATTCTTAAATTATTATTTCAATCGATTTAATAGTTAGTTTGATTTTTAGTGCTTTGATCTTCCTCCTCTCACGTGACAACTTTCATTTAAATTTTAGGTATTCATTTATTGTTAATTGGATGCATTATGGCTATGCCCAAAAAGTCTCCTAAAAAGTGTAAACAAAATATATGCAATATTTATATATTGATTTAAATTTATTTTTTGATTTTAATATTATTGTCTTAAGGAGATCAAATTAACTCATATTCTTTATCGTCATCATACATCTAAATCTACTTTTGAATTATATAATCAAAATAGATAGCAATTTGTCAAAAATTTTAATTTGCAAATTGTGGGTAGTGAAAATTTCAATTTTACAAGCATTAGTCCAAACAAACTAAGAATCCCCCCCCCCCTCCTCTCACGATATAATATGTCGTTATATGCTAAGAAATTGTCATATGGTTTCAATGACAATTACTGAAATGAGGAAATCATTATCCACTTGGACTACATTGAAATTGCAAGGTTATACCTCCAAGGTTGCAACAGTCCGTTACCAAAGATCGTTGGCAATGATTTGTGAAAAATATAGAAGACGGACGATTCTCATATTGACATTTCACATAAGCACACTTCACAGCCAATATTGAACCTCAAAACCCAGACTCAAGTCAGCCCCATTTCTGGTAGAGAGTTCAATAACTTACTGAGCTTAAAATTTTCACAAAACTCCTCAAAATTTTGACTAGATCTTTCTCTAATAGGTCACTCAAAACTTCATAGACACTCAAATTTAATGAAGAGAAAATTAATAAAATTGACCTTTTAGGCAAAAAAAAAACAATTAATGAAGTGGAAATCCTACAAATAACATGATTAGCACTTTCAATTCCAGCAATCAGAGCCGTTGGATCTCACATCACCAGCGGCAGTCATCTCTCAGCATTTTGGTTTTCTCTCTGTCTACTTCTTCCTTGTTCTCTGCATATTCTTGAGGCCTTCAATCTCCTCCCTTAATGACTCGTTTAAACTTAACGTCAAACACTCAGAGAGACACGTGCAAGATTTGAGTTACTGAGCAGACATTTTTGCTTAACAAAAAATGGTTTCCTTAAGATTGAGTAGGTAGCAGAAGCAGTCGAATTAGCAGTAGAAGGCGTGCGTGAATGAGCAAGAGCTGCATTAGCCTTGATGGCCAGAGCGCACAAGTCCTGAAGCGAAAGTGATGTGCTGGATTTAGAGAGAGGCAATATGAAGTAAATATGTCCTAATTGAAGCTCTTCACTAGGACGCACGCGAGGAATCGGAGACCCGACGTACATGGATTCTGAGCTGCAGACGAAACAGTTTGGGTTCTGAGACAGAACATGCCCTGCTTTCTTCGGTTCCTTCAGTTGTTGCAGCTTTCCCTCCATGTCTATAATGTTCACACTTGATTTCCAAGTGAAGTTTCCACCTTGGCCTGTGTTTTGAGAAGATGCACAAGTACCCATTTGGAATCACTCTAATTTTTGTTCTTGATGTCTCCCAAATCAAAGAAGCGTTCTCTGTTTCGGGATGTTATTGTTGGAACTTTGGGCGGTTTCACGGTGGGAAAGGAAACACAGCGAGAGAAGCAGAGGAGTATGATTTAGTTATGATATTGGATGGTCATTCTGGGAAGGAGTTGTGGTATTTGTAGGGTCAGAAACGAAGAGGAGGTGACATGAATGTAGCAAGGAAACAGCATCGCGTAAGGATTCTGATTCCGACGTTGACTAAGGGACACCCTCGGCACTTTCCTCACTACCAGAAAGTTAAAGTAATGACAGTATCACTCTCATGTCAGATTGCGGGCCACGTTTCTATATTAGCAAGTTAACTCAGATTTTGTGGACTATTCAGATGAAGAAAGGGAAGGCCCCATGTTTGATTTGAAAGAGGAAGCATCCATCGAATTTCTAGTTTCACAAGATAACTTTTTTTTTTTTCTTTTTGGTAAATAGTTTCACATAACAACTTTGAAAGCATGATGTGGGAGATGAGTCTGTTTGACTCCTCGAATCTTCCAAATTCGCCGCAAGCCCATCACACGTTTCTAGTGACTGTATTGTTTGCACCTGTCATACTCAACAGTAGTGGTTATCGTATTTTTCAGAACAAGGTTAAAAATGGACTATCCGTGATCCTTCCTTTTCTCGTCTGCCCTTCTTAGCAATGAATGCGTCGAGCAAAGTATACAAGTAGAGTATATATCGTTTAATTTAATATATGCTTATTTCACCTAAATTTACGTCTATCGTTAAAACCAGGAAAAATACTTCTATTATGAGATGCCTTCAATGTCTTGTGTCAACTGCATAGCTCCTCATGCTTGTCATCAAGGTTTAGAGTTTATATAAATATATGGATCCCAACATTCTTAGGTCTTACTTCCTGTATAATTTAACGCCATAGCCTTCTATTTTTTTTTTGAAAAAAATAAAAATGTTAGACCTCAATTTGATTTATTTAAATTAAACGTGTACATTTTTAAGTTGAGTTAAGTACATTAAGACAGGGTGGGTAGCTTAGCATATGAAACTTGATATATTACTAAGCCATTTTTATTTTAAGTTGCTGCTCCGGAGCAAATAACCGGATCACTGAAATCAAGAATATAATTAAAACTAATTAAGCTTCTTAATAGTTTGTTCTGGATTTAAAATTCTTTACAAGATGCCCTTATTGAATGTTTAGCATGCGTCTTATTAACCACACTAATTTGATTATTTCATATAATTAACAAGGACATAACGGGAATAATATAATAAACACACCAGACAATGATTTGATGTTTTTAATATTTCATCCAGTCTTAAAATGTAAAAAACTTTTAGCAAATTTTATAGATTTCAAGAAAAGTGGTTAAAAGTAATCTATAACATTAAAATAGTGGCAAAAGATAACTACTTTTTAAGATTATCTATCTTAATTACATTTAATTCCTTTCTTATAAAATCTCTTTATAATAAAATTAATAAATGCATTTATAGGGGAAAATAACTTAATGCAAGCTATTGATTTTTTTTGTAAAGTACCTTACACTTTAGACCAATAATAGCTGATGAAAAATGTTGTGTTTTGGATTGCATGGCATATTTAAGCTAAATAAGTATTTCCATTTATTTATTTATTTGAGTAAGAGAGTATTCCCAATTTTTTTTTTCTTATAAAAAGCTTAGGATGGGGTGATGCCGTAGTTATGCAAATTGAAGATCATATCACATTTGTGGGTACCACAACGAGAGATAGCAGCGTGTTGTGCAAGCCGGTGGGGGCCCCAAAAAAAAAAAACAGATAAAGAAAAAAGAAACAGCGTGTTGTGCTGTGTGTACAACATCCACTTTGCGGCTTTCTTTATGGTATTGTAGCCCACAGATTCCATTTTCAAATCCACAGACCACAATCCACATGTTCCTTCTTCCAACACACTTCCTCTTAAAAAGAAAAACTAACAATCAAGGATAGTTGGATAAGGATAAGTTATTATTAAAATTTAAATAAAAAAAAATTTAAATGAATCATTATTATTTTAGAATGAATTATTTTTAAAATTTAAATAAATATTTATTGATAAAATTCTAATTTAAATTAATAAAATATTCATTTAAGTTTTGATTACAGATAATCTTTAATTAATATAAATTTTTTTTTACATCATCTTTGATTGATTTTTTCTTTTGAAAAAAATGTCAAATATATTAAAGAAACATGTGGCTTCGAGGTCGTGCTGTTGTGAAGCACAAACCACAAAGTAGGCTTTTTGGATGGAAATTACAAATCGCTCATGTTTGTTGACACTAAAAGTGGGCTTTCAAATTATGGGTCAACACCCTCCCTCGGTTCCATTGACCCACTAACTTCCACGAAAACATTGAAAATATACATGTGTATATATATTGAATTGTGTCACGCGATCGGATAAGACTCTGCAATGATTAATGAAACAGGTTTGTTCTTTCACCTGTTTTTTTTTTTTTGGCCACAAAGAAAATCAATAAAAATTCAAAGAAAATGCTCAAAGCAGAGCAGCAACATCAAATCCAAAAACCAAAAGGTATCCAAAAAATAAACAAAAGCAAGAGAAAAAAAGGGGCAAAAGCATGGAGAAAACTATTATCCTAGATGGAAGAACTAAATAATCTATGAGAGAAACTAGAAAGGATCAAACCCGATCTCGCACATCCCTATCACTGCAATACATGTAATCCATGCAATAGCTTGATAAAAAGAACTTGGGTTCCACTTAAAGCTGCAAAAGCTAAGTGACTTGCCAGAATTTATAAAGAAATCAACAGAGGTTGAATAGGCTAAACTTATTCCTTTCTCTTCGAACAAATCAACCATTGGGAGACAAGCATTATCTCTATCAAAAGCCCTAAGAGTGTTGTTCAAAACATCAAGACCATCTTGCAAAATCCCATTGTCACCATCCAAACATTTACTATGCATTCAGAATATCTTGGGCAAAACAGACTATGGCCTAAACAAATCAGATCATTTATTAAAAAAAAAAATCAATTCAGATCATTCCACAATAACATAGAGGAATTGTCTATTGCCGGCAAAAGATTTGAACAAATACATAGTAACAAGGCAAAGGCAAAAACATAAGAGCTTAATCCCAATAAAAGAAACACTATTCGTATCATCTAAAAATTAGTTTGCAGGCATCACAAGCAAAACCACATGCTCAGTACGATACTTCAAATCATTAAAACTATTCAATCCATTCATCACCACTAGCCTAAAAGGATCAGATGATGTTACCCATGTTGACCAAGAAAGATCAATAAAATAACCAAGATTATACCAGTAATGATCCTCGTAAATCATTGAGAAATTAGCTAAGGAATAATTATGCCAAATAAACGAATCAAATTCTAGATTAAACTTATCAACAAAATCACGTGTCAGAACAAAATTAAATACCCCCAATCTTAGATCAATCCTCACAGCTTGAGCATCCTGGAGGATATTAGTCTGGGATAGGACCAGCACAATATCAAGACTAATACTCATCAATTTCATTACCATATACTCTGAAGAAGCCGTGAACCCTGTCGATGACACCTGCTTGACTCTCATCCATACCTCTGAACTAGGGGGCACCCATCATAAGTCCCCAGTGCCATCTCCACAGACCAGTTCATCAATCCTGTAAACGATTGGCCTCGATCGATAATCGAACCCCCTTCACTCGTTAACAGCTTTAGATCTTGACCCCATTGACATTTCCATCTGCATCGCTTTAATCATTGAAGCCACTGACCTCAAACCTTCCATTTTCCCGTTAGAATGGTCACAGAATCAAACTCAATGATCATGATTGCACAACCTCCTCCTCCATTACTATCGGAACCGCTGAACCCATCACCCTTGAATCCATCTCCATGAATCAGTGCTCCCACTCCATCAACCATCGCACCCAACTCACGCACACCCACCACCTCACCGCTTCTCAGCAGTTGCCGCGAAGAAGAGGCCCAGAGCTCGCCGCTACCAAGAACAAGAAAAGCCCTCCTTAACGGAGAGACTCTCCCAAGGATGGAGAGGAAAACCCTAGAGGTTTTAGAGAGCCACAATGCTCTCATCTCAAGAGAGAGAAGCCGTCCGAAACTAATGCTATTCTTTCATGTGTTGACGTTGAACTAAAACTGCGCTTAGCATTAAGATGGATCAACATTCCACCCATGATCACGTTTGCTCATATCATAGTAATAATTTTGTCAAGAAATGATCCACATGACTAGCTTGAAAACTAGCTGCTTCGTGCTCAATTGTATTGAGAATAAAACCATCACAAGTTCAGATAACCGACACAACAAAAAATTTTAAGTGATATTTGAATCTCAATATAACATTATCATTTAATAATAGCTTGAATTTTTTTGAGATAAGTCTTCCCCCTAATCGTGCAAACTTCATAGAAAAACAAGAAAATATTATATTATTTTGGACGCAAAACTCACTGAACATATCAATGGAGTCGCTTTTCAATGGTTCCCCAATGGGCCATCGGCGTCCGTTTCATGGACCACAGAAGTGTATAATTGGGCTGAGGGTTGAAATTTGACAATAATTGAGGATTAGGTCAGGCCTTTTACAAAAAAGGCAAGTAAAAGAAAAGGACAACACAAGTATTAGTTTGAGAGGGGAAAATGAAAAATCAGATGAAGTGGGCAAGAAAAGAATCAACACTGAAGAATTTTAGTTGAGCCTAACCCATATTTTTATCCTTGAAAACTCTCTCCTTTGATATAATTACCTATCATTCATGAGTCAAGCCTGGTAAAACCATATTGATGGCAAAATTCTCTCAACAAATATTTAATCCATTATTCTTGAAGACTCTCTTGCTGTTGTGGATGGACAGCCCCATGGGAGATAAAAAGATACAAGGAGAGTTTGCACGTCTCTCTCTTTTGTTGGATTGTATCTATTTCGGCCTAAAAAAAAAAAAATCCAATCTCATTTTTTATATCCTTCACACGTAGTTTGCGTCTTTCCAACAAGATCAATAACATGTGAGTGACTTGTTCCTTCGTCTGACCCAACCCTCAATCATTCATACCTGGTCAAATGCTGGCTTGGAATATATATACTTTTGCTCTTTTTCCATTTTAATCAACCGAGTTGCGGTGTTATCTAATAATCCCATTCTCATTCCTCCTCACCCTATATTCTCTCCCCTGTTTCCATTTTTTCGTTTGGCCGCTCCGTAAAATTCGATCCTGTGTGAAAAATGAAAAGTTTGTCCAATAAAGGTGAAAACATGAGCTAATTCAAATCATATAAATTAGCTCATATGAGTTAAGTTAGGTTTAATCTATTTTTATACGAGTTAAAAAAATTACAACCTAATTCAATCCAACCTTTAACTTAAGGATATTTCATTTAAATCATTAACCCTTTTTTTTCAATCTGTTTTTTATGAGTTTTAAAAAAATACACTTAAATGATGATTTTTAATTTGATATTCATTATAGATATATCAAAATATTAATTTATAATATTTATATAAAATATATAAATTGATTTAACTAAGTATTGCCCAATATGGTTTATACCATGAAAATTTTCCTTTATCCTTTTTTTTATTTTTTTTAAATATGAGTTAAATGAACCAACTCAAATCCATTAGGGTTAATTAATATAATTTACAGGTTATATGATTTGTTTTTTTTTTAAAAAAAACTTCTTTTTGTTTGGATCTTTTTTTTTTTTTCAAACCTGACCCGAACTGAATGATAGATTATTTGGATTAATTCATATAACTTGACTCATATTTTTGACTCGATTATTCAATAGCACTAGTTTATAGTTGATTTACGAAAATGAATGTTGGGATCAATCAAAACCAACAAGTGACGAGAGAGACGAGGGTGAGACAGAAGGGAGTGGGCAGTACCACAGAATTTGTGCAAATTAAAAGTGAAAGACTGAATGTTTGTACATATATGTAATTGAAGGCTGCTGAAAGGAATAATTTCATTCTTGACAATGATAAATCGCACAACATTATTGTTCATGACGCACGCAACAAGAATCTCTCATCACCTTCACAATGCTGCAAAACTCCTCCATTTATTTGTTTCTCTCCTCATTGTATCCCCTAGCTATATTATTGACAGATATATGCATACATATACATATACAATTATATATATTACTATTTTTTTGGGTCTGGGATAGAACAGTCCTATTGGTGTAGATTTCAAGGGGATACAAAAGAACAAATGCTCCACGATCATTCATGGTTCATGAAACGACCATCTCCGTGTGACACCTAACAGTTACAGGTACTGCACGGGTTAGTATTTATCTGGATTTCAATTCATTAGAAGTTCGTTTGTGAGACAGTGAAGCTAAGTTTGGTAAAAGTTGATTATAGTAATAAGATTAATATTTAACACATTTTTTAAGAAACCAATTTATTAATAATAATCAATAATAGAGCTTGGGTAATCAAACTATTAGAATGGAAATATTTTTGCTAATTTTATATTTTATTGAAGAGTATTGCAAAATTCCTGAAATGCATATTATAAATTTATAATGTTGGTGTTTATAGTAAAGCCTTCTTTCAGGAAATTCAATATTGTGTGATGAATACAAGCTCAAAGGGAAAGTCTCTTAAGGACTTATATTATGATAATAACACCCCGTCAAGAGCTGACGTCTTTAGCAATTTCATTTCACGATACTTCACTTGGCCTCTTGCTAGACAGAACTTTTTATAGGTAGCTCTTTCTGTGACACCTACCTCTCAATACCAACATGACGAACATAAATTCAAAGAGAGAATTAATTCTAAAAGACTAGCCTGTTAGGAGAAGAGTTCTTTAAACTTATAAACTCTATATTACTTGTGAGGTTCTTTGATATGAAACTCCTGACATATTGTTAAAAGGTTAACCAACTTGTTAGAGCTAGAAATACTTAAATAATAACATCTGCCCTAGAACATATATATATATATATATATATGAATTCATGGTGAAGGAGTGTTACAGGCGGTTGGGAGTCTAGGTACAGATAAAATATTGGATAAGAAAGATGATAAACCAAGATAATGTCGTCTATGTTTAATTTTAAGGAAAAGACACGAGATAGGCATTAACGCTTAGAAGCAGAACTTCTAATTGTGCAGAGGAATCTATTCCTTTGGCTACGTTGTTTCAATCTCTCAAAACTTCCAATTATTACAGCGTTGGCTGGCACTTTCTCTCCATATATCCTTTAGCCTTCACATCACAATGAATCCATCCACTAAAGCAAATATCCACAGCCCTTCTTTCTTCGCGTCATTCTTAAATATCCTATTGTAGTTTTATTTTTTTATTTTAAAAAAAGGCCAAGTATTTGCTCAAAAAAAAAAAGGCCAAGTAATTCAATTATTCTCAACTATTTATAAGCTTGCATTGACGCCTTATTCTTATATATTTTGGGAAGAAATTCCTATAAATTTACAATAAATTAAGGTAGCATTTTAAATTAATGGCTTTAAATTAAATTTTAGATTTAAAATCTCCTATTTAAAATTCATGTATTTAAAATTCTTTATTTATATAGTATAAGAGATTTTAAAGGTTAAAGAAAGATGAGACGAAACTTGAGGCACAAATGAAAGATTAAGTATAATGAGCTTACCTCTGTTTTTCGATTAATAAGAGATGAGAATAAAATGGGAGATAAGAGAAGAAACGAGAGTAATAGAAGTATTGATAATAAAATCATAAGGAAAATAAGAGGGTTGGAATAACTAAAATTTTAAATAATTACTTAGGGAAAATTTAAAATTACAATAAAAAAATTATAATAAAATATGAATTTTTCATGAACTTTTTAGCATGTAAATAAGAGATTTGGTTCAAATTCACTTGTTCATCTATTCCATTAACACAAAATAGCTAGGACTTCTTTAATACAAAATAAACTCACCTTGTATTAAAATGAAAAGGGCAAGAACTTTCAATCTTGAGAGAGACATAATTTGAATGTATATCTTGGAATCTCATGAGCCCTTGTAACTCCTTAACAAGCATGAAATCACAAGGTTTGTAGTGGATGAATCAATCTCCTACATTTACCACTTTGAATATCTTTGATAATAGTAGGAGTGCTCAATTTATACTCATCTTGATTGACCCAATATCATCTTGATTATATTATGATGAGTCTTGTCCCAGCTCAAAAGCAATTGTGTCGGGACACGGGATTACCATTGGGACATCCCGTCACATCCTAAATATTATATATATTATTTTTTATTTTAAAAATATATATTAAATATATTAATATAATTTATACTTATATTAATTATATCAATTATAACTTCAATACTTGCAATTTTTATAATAAAAATAAGGTTTTTTATATTGATAATTTTAACAACATAGATTAAACATGGCAATATCTTTCTTTATAATATATTAATTATATTAATATAGTTTATTCTTATATATGTCTATTTAATGACTTTTATTTGTATCATATTTCTTGTTTTATTTACAGAAGAGTAATTAGCTTAGCACATCTCAACTAAAATAGAAGAATAATAATTTGATGTTGTGCTTAGATTGCCTATTGTTGTTGCTCTTATAATCTAAAGATCACTTATAATTGCTATCATAATGTGTAATTGTGATTAATGTAATTCAATAATTGACTTTAAATTATTGTGATTTATGCACTTGCCGTGTTTTAATTTTAAACTTAATAAATTATATTATTCAAAATTTTAATGAATATTATTATTTAAATTTTTTCTGACATTATTCGATTTATTGGGACGATGAGATGTCTTGATCTCATCTCAATTTTTAATGTAACAGGATGACTTTTGGAATAGGACAAAACATAGAATAAAAATTTAGTCCCCTTTTTTCGGGACGGTCCCATCCAGTGAACACACCCCTTGAAAATAGAATAGAAAGAAACTAAATAATTGAAAATACGTGGTAATTAAGGTTGCAGATTAGCAGGTTACAAAATCGTCAAAAGCTTAAAAATTGGTATATGTTCCTTCGTGGGACGTGACTCATCAATATGCGCATAATGTCTCCCTGTTCTCGTTGAAACGGAAATTCCCAGGAACTTGCACCATTATCATCTGATCAGGAGGCATAATTCTTTTCCATTTGCTTCACCCACAAGCCACACAAGATTATAGACCCAAGCCCCAGACTTCAAATGACACATTTCTATAGTCTCCCAATAATCAGGTCTTTAATAATTAGTTTCATATATACATATATATATATATCTATGTTAGTATGTATGTATAAACATACCTCATCTTCGTGTTCAAGCACTCCTCCTCCTCAGCCAATTCTCTGAAACGCGATCATGAAATACAGCGAGATATCCCACTTCAGCCACCCACAACACAAGCTCAGATTCGAGTACTCTGAATTTCCATTCAAATGCGATGGTTGCAAGGAGGTCGGCATAGGATCGCGATACAAGTGCTCGATGTGCGATTACGATCTTCACGTCCATTGCGCTATCCCTTCGCCCTCGATCTGCCACCCTTTCTACAAGAAATGCTCCTTCCAATTCCTGATCCGGCCGCCGGGGGAGATGGCGCGTTACTGCAACGCGTGCGAGAAGGGCGTGAGTGGATTCGTGTACCACTGTAGATCCTGCGGGTTCGACCTTCATCCGTGCTGCGCGAAACTGCCGATGGTACTGGACGACGGAGAAATCAAGCTGTATCTGTACAGAAAGGTGAGCTCGGCATGCCACCGGTGCGGGCGAAAGGGACGGAGCTGGAGTTACAGATCGAATTGCAAGAAGTACAATCTGCATGTGGCTTGCGTGAGGGAGATGCTGGTGGAGAGTTGGCATGAGATATACATGGAAAGCTATAAGGGGAAGGGATCGGGGACGAGGATTCCGAGGTTGAAGAACACGCTTCAGAGCAGCCATGGCAGTGGTAGGAGCAAGGGGAAGGTGAAGAAGTGCTGTGAGATCGCGGGTCTGGCGGTGCAGTTTGTGATATCGGCGGTGCTGGGAGATCCGACGGTTCTCATAGCGGGGGTCGTGGGATCACTGATGTCACGAGGTTGATGGGTATGCAGAGAAGCCATTGTGGGGTAGCTTCGTGGTCGAAGTAGTGAAATGGATCTGTAATGATGAAAGTGGTTCAGTTGTTGATCAATGGGAGATGTAGTGGCATGCCATCCCAGGACTCACTGTAATTTACTCAACAAGCTCTCTCAATCACTATGATCAACTCAACTTCATACCTCGCTCTTTAATTTTTCCCAACAAATCCATATATGATATCAATATCAATTTCTTAATTATAAGACATAAAAATTGGAGGAGGAAGGTGTGCATTAGCTGATATGAGTTATGACTATTTGGCTTTTTCAAAAAAAAAAAAAAAATAGTTAGTATGACTCAGGCTCTCTGCAAAATTGCACGCCAAGTATTCTCTTCACGCTAATTTTTTTTTAATGAACTCTTCACACTAATTTAATTTGTCAGCCTCATTTGTTTTAAGAGTTTTATTATGGGTTAAAGTAACTTTTAGTCATTCACGTTTGGAAGTTCTATCGATTTGTTCCCTCAATTTTAATTTCTATCCTTTCTTAATGTTTATTTTAATTATCAAGTTACTTTTTAGGTTTTGTAAGCTAAAATAACCCGGAAAAAAGCTCATGTGAAACTTAGAATGCTAACATGAAAAAACACGTAAATTAAATAAAAAATTTTAATTACTTATCAAAAATCCATGATAATGATGACACTATAATAAAATAAATAACAGACAAATAATTAGGACTTAACAGATTTGGTTAATATATTTTATTTTATCCATGTGTATATTCTACATCAGTAATCTAATTGCTACATCATCTCTCTTTAAAGGCTATTTTATCTTACAAAATTTAAAGGAGTAACTTGATAATTGAAGTAAACATTAAGGATTAAAATGATATAAATTAAAGTTAGGGAGCCAAATCGATAGAACCCCCAAACATGAAGAACTAAAATTTGCTTTATCCCTTTTATTATTTATTTTATATTTGAAACTATTTGTATAAAATATAAAATTATTATTTTATTCTTCATATAATATTTGAAACATATACAAATAATATTAAATTCTAATGCAAATTTTATAATTTTATCAATTAATATATTTATTTAGCTATTTTCCCAAGAAGAAGGTGCAAAATGTTAATTTCATATAATGAAATAAATACTGGAGAAATGCTTTTGTTACATCTTTTAGGAGAAAAACAACTTTTTTAGCTCGCAGAAGTTTCATGTCATGTTTATCCCTCCCTATAATTATTTTACGTTATCTAATATAAATGTTGAAAATTTTAATATCATATTAAATATTGACTCCACCGATTAATTAAATTTCATGATTTTGTTTTTAAATTTAATTATTATGGTATGTTCTAATATAATATATATATATATATATATATATAGATATTATTTTTAAATAAAACGAAATGATAATAAATGCGTAAAATATTGCATTAGTTTGTGAAATATAAGGTATACAGCGTGTCTCATGTAAGAGTTTAAAGTACATCACGTGGAAGTTGAAACTGGGAAACTGCCAATCAGGACATAAAAGGGAGGCAAAAGCACTTTGCTTTGGTTAAGCGTCAACCTCAAGATTGATAACGACTTCTCTATACTATGTATATGGCGTCTACTGGATGGCCATACTGTATCTTCAGGCAGTCTAGAAGACGCTAAGAATTGGAGCTTATGATACTTGCACAATTCAATTCCGTTTTGTTTCTTATTTCTGTGAATTCTGTTCTCCATTTTTACAACCACCTTTCCCCTGTAAGAATGCCATCATGAGAATCCGCAGGTTTCAGTCCAATCCATGTGTATGCTCACCAGTCACCAGAATGAGCTGTGTTTTGTTCAAGTTGACACCATTCCACTCCTATATACATATACACATTAAGAGCTTCTCTGACTATTCTTTGATTCTACAGCACTCTTCAAATACACTGCCCTCTAGAATTTCTAATCCTACAATACACAAATAAAGGGGAAACAACATATCGTTAATGAAGTGTGATATTTACTTGTTATGGTCCTAGCCAAAATGAAATGAGAATCACAAGGAGGGCAATAGCCAGAGGTTGAAAAGACAGGATGCCAATGACAGGATCCATGACAGAAACGCCATAACTGCAGATATCTGGTATCTGCTGCAATACTTCCAAGGGCAATAAGAACCATGGGAATGTATCAGCAGATCCACAACACTTGATGTTGAGCATGCTGCTGCTAGTGTCAGAACAGATAATATCTGCAACAAATTCTTAATCTAGGTCCTTAGTTTTTCAAGAAGAATATGAACATGTCAGCACCTAATTTTCTCTACCAAAATTTACCCACACGATCTGATGATGCACATGAATCAGAATCTACGTACCCAATCTCCGATAACAATGATCAGCAGTATTATTGGCTGATGAATGGGGCATTTCAGAAGAACAGAGTATCCATCTACCAATGCTAATGTAAAACTCCAAGGTATGACCAAACCCATAATTGTTACCAAGTAGCTGCAATTTAGTAAGATCCAGATTAGAACGCAGGAATCAACAGTTACTTATGTAGTGCAAGTAAAGAGCAAAGAACAGAAGCAGATGTTAGTTTATCCAGATCACTGCCTGGATGAGTAAAAGGGATTTTGTTTTTAAATTTTGTCATACTAAGAGTTTATGATTCTTGTAGGTTAGAACAATGACAAAGTTTAGCTTCTTTCCGTCTCATCCCTCATTACCAATTCCAAATCGCAGCAGAAGTTGAAAACTGAAAGAATACCAAACAATACCTTAAGGTGATCAATCACTTTTCATCCATGGAAAAGGGCATCACTACATTGAATCAACATACTCTGGAAAACGTTTAAGAATCTTAGCTTAGGCATAAAAGCAACCATTCGTTCCACTTATTCCACAGACCAAGAAGCATAATCAGATAAAAGAATTCAGTTTAGACCATTCATCGTGCTAATGTATGGCTGAACAGGTTTATAAAGATTCATCCCATTAAAGACCGCAGAATATCAAGGATTATACAGTGAAGTAGCGGGAAATGAAAAGTACCAGAAAGCAGTGTAGCTGTAAAATTCAACACCGAAAGACATGAAGAGAAGAGAAGCAGAAGAGAACATAGTCTGACCCAGTCTGAGACTAAAGCTCGCAATGGTACCTACAGAACCAGGTAATTCATCCATGCCCTTCTTTTCTCCTTGTTGCATGAGACGTTCTGAATCTAAATTTACAATTTCTGGGTTTGCCTTTTCTTCTCCTTCTCTTATGTTTTCTCATCAATTTTCCCCTTCATTTCTGAACCATAATAGTCCGCACCCCTCATCTATATAATCAATTTTACTTGTTTCAATTGAAACCTTCTGCTATGATTTGTAATGAAGAAGAATCACAAATCCCAAGAGAGGTGTACACAAAAATTCCGGACCACTTTGTTCCTCTTTCTAGCAACTAAGAAACAACCCAAGAAGACAACCAAATTTACCGTACTTTATGGAAATTAGGACATCTCTTTCCCAAACATTTCAAGTCCTTTGTAGGACTCCGGCAAGTTTCAAGGTGGAAATTTGGACTTTTGCAGTGAAGAAATATGTCAATTGAATCATGAAGAAATAAGTGGGTGCCACTAAAAAGAAGATAAAAGATTTTGTAACTTTTTTATTATAATATGTAAATTTATTATAATGTGTAAAAGAATTGCTTGAATTTTTCGAAAGAAATTCGGCTTAATTGCTTAAATTTCATCCACTAATCTAGTCCATGTTATTATGTTATGATTTGGTCATTGAGCAATAATGTTGTTTCTGTCATAATGATTGATTTGACACATGGGTTGCTTTTCTTTTTATAGAAAATTACGATTAATAACCCATAAGCAATTAAAGATTTTAAAAATTTTAGAGTTACAATCGAGTAATTAGTATGCTATGTCTATCAGTATGTATAAATAATAAACTAGACATGAAAATTGTCTGTACCAAAAGACAATCCTGTTTTAATAAAAGGATGCTAAGGATGCTTTCTTTAGTTGATGCTCTAGCTTCTATTCCTGGATTTGAACGTTGGTTAACTTGTTTGGGGCACTGAGAGAGCACTATGTATGTGGGTGGGACCCTTGGGTACAAGTGGAATACAAATACATATCACTTTTCATTCAATCGTTTAGTTTAACCATTCTCTCTAGTTTCAGTCAAAGCAACAGTTAATAAAAGACCACACTAGTGCTTTCTTAAAGAATGACCCTGGATTTGCCACGTGTCCTATCCTAGTGACCCCCCAATGTTCTTGGGAAAGTGATGAGAGACTAGGGGTGGACATGGCTGTTTGAGGTCACTAGATTCATATGGTTAAAATTTTGGAGGCAATCACCGATTTCAGAAGAGCCTAGGAGTAAAGTAAATGTACTGATGCATATTTATATTTTGAATCATTTTATGTCACTTTCTCACAATCTATAGCCACAATGAAAGATCCCAACTTTATATACAGCAGAAGGCTGGGTTTCAGTCAGTCACACTCTTTTTCTTTTCTTCACAACACCCTCAATGAATCCAAACTGAAGAGCCTGAGCCTTGCTCTCCCAGCCAGCTCTGAAGAAAACCACTCATCAACATCAATAAAAGCTCTTCCTAAGCATCGACCCTGATCCAAACAAATCCTACTCTGTTATGAAAATCATGATCTAACCAGTGGGGAAAACACAAAAGACTTTACATTAGAATGGTGTTCCATATCCACAGGAAATTTGGGCAGACCTAGCTTTTGACTGTTACATAAACACAGTAGTTGAAAGGGTATTATTTCAAGGTGATCAGACCGCATACTGCAATGAAATCAAGAGCTGTTTGATTCATTGCAGAATCCTCGTTACGCTACAACAGTGAGAGTATATATTTTCAACCTTTTTTTTTTTTTTGGCTTTTCGAAGCTTCATATATACAGAGCAGCAATAATTGGCCCAGAAATGTTAGTGCATGGAGATAATGATGGCTTCCCAATGGTTCAGCAAAAATTAGTTGAGCATGATATGAAGATTTTGCAGCCATTGTTGCTGTGGAATGTGTAGGAAGAACAGAATCAGATATAGATCACTGATGAAAGCAATTACAAAGGCATCCTCTGAGCTTACTATGCCTTCACTAAGACACCAAAAGGACTGGAAGAGCATGAAAGCTATTTAGCTGAAAAGAATTCCATCAAGATTCACTTGTGCTACACCAACATATCCATGGTTGACAGAATCTGTACATCCTAATCAGTTAGAATGTTAGATGATCATCTGATCTATTAGCATTTGATGCTCGTGAACTATTTATTTACTTAGGTCCTTAGAGGTTGTGGTGTTAGCCTTTTTTGCCACGTCATTCGCCATCTCACGGCCCTCCATCTACTTTTTATGATGCCAACGAAAAATAAACTTCTAGTATTCTTCACTTGTATCACAAAGAAATAGCTGTGTGCCAATTTTCCCCCTCTTGTTTCAAGCCATCCATCCAGATCCGGACTATAAAATCCTTCCTTCTAAATTAAAAAGCCCCCGCTTTTGAGTTGTGGCCGATCTATTTACATGTATTGAGCAGTCACAGAGTCATATTGAGAAAATACAGGACAAATTGTCTCAGGGAATCAATACCATGAAATATATAATCTCTTTCTTCTTCATTTATATTTAGTTCGGTGTCCTGCATTAACACCATCACTGGCAAAAGCTCATCATGAGATTATTATCGAAAATAATGCACAAAGATGCTGCCTTTTCACAATATAACTACAGATCAAAACCCAAGGATTCGCCCGCGTAATTCAACAAGTTTCAAATTTTACACGCAAATACTAATACTTGATTTCCAGCTTCATCAAGACCAAAGTGGCCCTAGAACATCATTGAAGACCTAAAATAAGCAGTGATGACAATATTTTGTGGAAATAATAACCAATACAGTCAATGGCTGAAACTAAATTCCCTTGGGTAGTGTTTACCTCGCCAGAAGGAACGGGGGTTCAAATCGTCGAACTGAAGCTGCTTGAAAGATGCAGTCATGCCCTCATAACTTGAACTATAAATGAAACCTAGGTTTTCAGATTCGATTGAGGTTAGTCCAAAGACAGGCTTGGTTGGTGAGTCCGACTGGGGTTGGGGGAAAACAAAAAAATATGGCCCATGCAGGTCTCGAACCTGCGACCTTCGCGTTATTAGCACGACGCTCTAACCGGCTGAGCTAATAGGCCAGATGCTTGGAATTAGATTCTTAAAATATATAAAGATAAATTTATAGATGCTTTTACGGCGTATCATACTACAATACAGAACCAATTTCCCATGTTTTCTGGTACAATTTCTTTCCTTACATTTTTTTTAGGGGTACAATTCCCTTCCTTATTATTATTTTTTGAATAAAAACACAGACAAAACTGTGCAAAGATTACAAGAGTTAGCATGAATCACCCTTCCTTATTATTAACCCTTCACATTTAAACTCAATGGATTGAAAATTTTTTTTTCCTCTCTCATTTCATTTTCTTTTACCACAAAAGACTTTAAAATTTCAAAGGTTAATTATCATATTTTTTTTAAAAAAAAACTCAAGTACAACATTTTATGATTAACTCGAAAATACATAGATAGTAAAAACATGCATGCCACTCATATATTATCCGAAGGAATAAGCTTGGGCCTAAAAACGAAGAATCAAATGATGACTTGAGCACTAGAATGAAGTTTGATGTCACATTTTCAAATATCAATTTACCTACTGTACAACAAATGAAATGATACAAGAAGAAAAATAGATTCACAGACATGAGTGAGTGAGTGTGTGTGTGGTTGTAAGGAGTGCAATAATAAAGATGGGAAAGTGTTGAGGGAAATTAGAGAAATTAGAGAAGATGAAGAGGGCCCAGAGAGGATAAAGAATTGGAGGAGGAGGATGCCAGCAGTGCTGGAGATGCTGCCATGAGGCAGGGCGAAGGAATTTGTGAAACCACCAGACACCTTCGTGTGTTGAAGAAGCAGATAAGCAGCAATCCCAAGGCATGCATATTGCCACCACCATCACTAGCATCACTGCTTCTGCAAACTCCGTCCTTTCTTCTTAATTATTACAACATCCGGAGAGACCAAAACTGACAGCATACCTGGGAATCGCCCCACAACAGCTACAACTGCTATCCATTTCGCAATCTCTCCGCTGTGTAATGTTACCTAATAATAATCCAAAATAATTATCAAATTAAGGAAAACATTCTGTGAGAATAACGTGGATCACTATACGAACTAGTTTGATGAGAGGTACACAATAATCACCTTAAGATGCCAAAAATGATTGAAGGAAGACTCAAGAAAATGCAACGGCGAGGCATTGGAGGAAGGCGGTGCCGACGAAGCCAAAGGGTAACGGCGTGTTTGGCGAGTTTCTTAGCGGCGAGGCCAAGCTCTCTCGGATCAGAGCTCATCAACTATGTAGCTCCTTCTTCATAACTACCACCCATCTTCGTCGCCAAGTAGCTTATAGAAAATCACTTTGCTGAATAATACTCTTATTGAACTCATTAGGTTTTGTAGCAGAAAACGTACATGAGATACAAGAGGGGGCACACTATATATATAAGGCCCAGAATAAGAAACACACCTAAAACAAATAAACTAACCCAAACAAAATAAGCAAAATATCCAGAGATATTAATTTGGAGCATTGAACATATTAATCAATATTTTCTACATAGCTCATATTCTTCCACATCGACATCCTCGCTTCTCTTTATTTCCCTCTTCACTACACAACCCAAGGAAGGAAAGCAAGACCAAGGATTAATTATTCATATTAGATCAACCAACGATAAGCTTTCCATTTCATTGCTAATTAGTCATCGTTTTTATTATCATTTTGGTCTGTGAACAGGGACGGATCCAGAATCAAATCAATGGGGGGCCAAAATGCAAAATAACATTATAGTGGAGGGCCATAAATTCATTTTAGCAGTATTCTTAAACCAAAAAAAGAAATTTGCAAAATTTTTGCGCCGTGGTGCTTGCCCCTCTAAATCGGTCTCGCTTTCCATGTGAATTTTTATGAATATACAAACTAAAATGTTCAGAATATTTATTTTTGTTCGCGGCGAGTAATCTGGCAATTCAAACTGAAGAACGAAGCATTTAGAAGCATCTCTACGGATTTGCCACCTGGAGACGAATTATATAGCAAGTGATATATTTACACGTGCGTGACACTCGCTCTGCTCTCATTTTAACTTTGTTTCTCGGCCAAGAAAGTCAGCCCAGCAACTTTACGTACTACTATTATTCTATGTATTATTCTATGCTATCTAGTTCCATTTCATAAGTTGACACAGCCCTCATTAGAAGATAATTTTCAACGTCAACATGACACGATACACAATCATCTACCCGCCTCGTCTGATGATCCCAACTGCACGTTATTTTTGGGCCATCCCGTTATCTGGCTCTTTCTCTTTCATAGGTCCTGTCTGTTTCAAAAATGGCAATTGGCAACGGCAACTAGAGCTTATCATCAAAACTTTCAGAATTCCTAAAGGAAAAAAAAAATTCCAAACTTCTAAGAATTTGGCAATATTAGATAACAAGTTTAAATGATACATATCATTCTTAATTGGACTAAAAATCACTAACGACGATGGATTTTTGGATGACAAATGAATTACCATTGAGATAAGAAGAGCGAGAAATCAGAAGATTAATTTCAGCAGGAAAATATTTACCCTTCCTTATCAACCCAAAATGTAGCGTAAAAGTGTCTCCGATTGAAAGCCAAGTTACCAACTTTCAAGAAGTTAAATGCAAACCTTCACCTACACGATTTTTTTGGGCCTGAAATTCTAATTTCACGTCTGCTTGTCCATAAATAGATGTAGACAAAATTAAAAGACACCATACCAGGTAATATCTTAAAAAAGAAATTAAAAAAAAAACTTGTTCGTGGCAAAAAGATGTACGTAGAAAGAAATGACAAAAAGAAAATGATTTTCAAACAATGAGCAGCAAGTGAACGTAAACAGTAAACATCACATCACGTGGTCACAATGACTACAAAGAAGTATCTGTTCCATCTCAAACTAGATTAACACGCACACGACCAGAATTACTACAAATCCAAACCCCGCCTAGCCAGCCAAAAGAAAGCATATATTTAAATAATACAAGTTTCATTAATAACTTGACAAAGCAAGTGAAAATATATATATATATATATATATATTTTAGTTATATTTTACTTTACTAAGGTGTTAATGAAGTAACAAGTTTTAGGAGTTCGTGGCCTTAGTCAAAGACTTAACGGTAACGGTAGGGCCTATCGTGGGGGTTCCAATCTCCACCTCAAACGTATCGTATCGCAGGAAGAGTTCCACCAGAATGACCCTGAGCATCAGCACCACAAGATCCTTGCCCGGACACTGCTTGTTCTCCGGGGTGGGATCCTCTGTTTCTCTCCCATTCGACCAATACACGTACCTGAGCAACGTCTCTCCTTCTCCCACGAACCTGTCCCCCACAAACTTGTCTGCATCCTCAAACACCTTCCCATCCTTGGTCGCGAATGGTTGGAACCCAAATATCATTTCCCCTTTCTTCACTTCAAATGCTTCCTCGTGGCTTTCTATGATCAAATCTCGCTTCGCCTTCCCGTACTGGTACGGTACGGGAGGTTCTATTCTAAGCGTCTCCCACACCACCGACTTGGCCAGTGCCATTTTCTCCAACGCGTTGAAGGTGACCCCGCCTTCTTGTTTAACCACGCTCCTGATTTCTTCGGCGAGTCTCTTGTGCAGGGCCGGACCAGCTGATCCCACCCACTTCATCAGAGTGGGGACCACTATCTTGACCCCACCGTAGGAGTTGAAGCCCAGCACGAAGAGGATGTTGTTGCAGGCTTCTTCTCTGGTGAGGCCGAAGCTCGGGGCTTGGCCGAGTGCTTCCGTGGCGGATGAGTCGATGGCTTTGTAAAGCTTGTTGTGGTCCCACTTTAAGGACCACCCGGGAAACGGCACCGTATGAAGCAGGAAGTCTTCTACCACGTTGATGGGGAAAAAGTACCATGGCAGACCTGGATAGAACAAGATGTGTAAGACTTCATTGTCAGAGTTGGAGGTTAACCAGAACAAATCTATCTCAGTGGATTAATACAAAAATGGTAGGTTGGTACTTGATATGACTCTTTTCATCACCTGACACATACAAAAATGACAATTTGTACTTCGAAATTCATGATATTTATTATTTATACGGAATGACAATCATTATTAAATGAAGAACATTAGTAAAAGGAGCTGTGATGTGAGTGAAAACCGGATGAAACCGAACCAAATAAAAACAAACGCCCTTTAACCTGCAGAACCCACTGGAAGAAGCTGCGGGAGAACCCAGAGATCGAATAATTTGGAGCCACATGACCCGAGATTTGTCTGGGCCGGGTCTTTTCCACAGTAGTACCGAAATACGAAGTTGAAGAGCTCGTTGTCGCTCATGGAATTGAATGGCGCTTGCCCTTTGTCAGATACCTTGTCTTCCAGCTTCCGGAACAGCTCCGACAAGTGGCTCCGGAGGAGCGGAACCACCTGGTCGTGCCGCGATGAGAGCAGGGAGAAGAAAAAGCTCTTGATCTGCTGGTGCTTTGGCTCTGAGGGATCGAGGTAGGGGCAGACGCGGTAGCCGCCCGTGAAGGCGGTGGACGGCATGTAAGTTCCGGTGAAGACGTCGCGCTTCTCGACTTTCGACACGTCGAAGAGGATGGAGAAGCTAGCAGCGTCGAGGACGGCGACGACTTTCGGATTGGAGGCGTTGAAAGGGCCGGGCGGCATGTTGGTCCGGAACACGGTGGATTTGTACTTCTGGATCCGAGAGGAGAAGAATTTTTCACGGCCTTGGTTGTAGAAGTAATCGAATCGGTCTGCGATGGCTCCGAATAAGGGGAGGCCATAGCCGCCGGGGATGGGTCTGAGCGGGAGCTTGGAAGTGGAATCGCAGTGGTCTGAGGTAGAAGAGGACATCGTTCGGAATGTGCAATAATCGATGCGCAACGAAGTCTATGAGAAGAGGGAAGAAAGGGACCCGAAATGCAATGTGATCGATTTGGATTGGATGATGCATTTTGGTTGGATAGCTATTCTATTAGGATATTATTTGTCTGACTTCGTTGCCTTTCCTTCTCCGTGTTTATTTTTTAGCAATATTTTATTTCTCTTCAAGGAAAAAGGATGAAAATATCTGGGCATTTTTTATTTATTAATTTTAGGCCAGATGGAAGAATCTAGGCAAGTGACCAATGAAATATGGAAATCTTGGTAGAAAATGTGGAGTGTGGGAAACAACTGAAAATGAAGTTTTGCTGAGATAAAAGTTGACTCTGAAAGTCTCTTGCAGGGTTATTGTAAATTGTTGGGGCATGACGGTTGAAGTCGTTGGTATTTATATGAAACTGGTAGTGCTTAATTATGCCAAGAAAATGACATTAGGTTTTGCTTAGCAAATTGGTCTGTGTTTGGAGGGAAGTGACTGAGTGTGAAGAGGCATTTGTTTGGTACGATTTAAAGGGTAGTTGCATTGCATCCAACAAGTTCACTGGCGGATTAAATTTGTATGAGGGATGGGGCTGGGACCAATTCCTCCAAAGACGTGTCTTGGCCTCCTGGGCCGCCTGATTAACAAAAGAAAAGTGGGAAGCAACGTCAAATACATCACTGAACTTGGTTTAATTGGTTAATTGGTAGAGGTTGTACTTATATCAGCTCAATTAAAAATTTGAATTTTGGAGGAACTCAGTTCCGATTATACAATAACATTAAATACTTGACGGTAGAGTTTACCATGTAAAGGATTTCCAGTTGGATACAAATTAGTCTGCGTTCTAATACATCTTTCGGTGGAAGTGGGGCCAGACTAGCAGGGATGCATTAAAAAGGGCATATAAGCATGATTTTCAGTTAATTAAAAGTAAATTTGTCAAAAATTTATTTGTTAAGAGTCAATAATTATAACAAAATCTATGCTTAGTCTAGTAAACTAAAAAATATTTAAATTACAGTGAAAAGTGATTTAATAAATTAACTATTTTTAATAAAGATAAAGTTAAAAAAATTATTTTAAAATATATTTAATGAATTAACTCCTTAACTCTAGTGAAATAGTTAAAAACATATTATATCTTATAAGGGATAGGAGAGACTATTAATTGATAATGGAGAGATTTTCAAGTAACAATCAGATGTGACTTGATTAATAGGAGGTTTTAAAAAAATTTAAAATTTTAATTCAATTTAATAAATAAAAGTAAAAATAATTTTAACTGTAAAAAATTAAAGTACCATTCACCTTATTATGTAGAATCACTAATTATTAATTTTCTTATTTTACTTATTAATTTATTAATTTTACTTATAAATTATATCTATTTGTTAGACAAGTAATAATATTAGTTATTAATTTGCTAATTTTAGTTGTTAATTTATTAACATTAATTATAAATTACAAGACCCATCAGTAATTTTCAATTCATGTTAGTAAATTTATAAGACCTACCAGTAATTTGTAGTTGATGTTAGTAAATTAATAAGTAAAATTAATAATTTAACAATTGATATTGTTGCTTATGACTGAACAATTGATGTCAAGCCTATTTAGATTTCAACAGAGTATAATTGATTATAAAAATAATTAATTAATATAATTAATTTTGATTATGTTATAACACAATTTGTGTGAATATTTTTTTAAATTAATTTTAACAGAATTAAAAATATTTAAATAAATTAATTTTAGCTATACAAATTACCACAAAGGACATTACTTTTGAAAATTAAATTATTAATAAAGTTGTATATAATATTATTAAACTTGTACTCCCTCCATTTAAAAATGTAAAGTATTTTTAATTAAGTTTCGTCCCCAATGAAATAGTTACTTATTTTTAAAATTAACCATATTTTTTCATATTTATCCCTATTTAATAAGATGTTTCAACCTAAAATAAATATAAAGTAATTTATTTAATAAGAGTATTTTAAAAAAAAAGGCATTGATTACACCTTCAAAGATTAAAAATACCTTATATTTTTAACACCTAATTTTTTTAAAAATATTTTATATTTTTTAACGAAAGAAATATATAATATGAAATTGAGAGAATACATACCATAGACAAGGAGTAATATTGGCATGTAAAACATTTTGACAAGCAATTAATATTTTAACAGTAAAATTAATTGAGAGAACCTACCAGCTCCATCTTATAAGAAAACGTGATTTTCCCTTAAATAAGTTATTAACAACAATTTGGAATGTTTGGCAGTTTTTCATTGAAACCATGATTCTGCCCTAAAAAATTGATTCATTTTGCAATCCAAATAGGCAAGTGTTATATAATTATTGGCATGTCAATTCATGTAATTTATAACTTATATAAGTAAATTAACAAGTAAAGTAAGAAAATTAATAATGAGTGATTATGCATAATAAATTAAGGATATTTTAATCTTTTTATAGTTAAAATTATTTTCACTTTTATCCTGTTAAATTGAATTAAAATTTTAAATTTTTTTGAGATCCATTAATAATTAAGTCACATCCTTGATCTTTATTTAAAATTTTCTCTTAATAATGTCTAGAGTATAAAATTCTCACAAATTCAACTACATCCCTTGATAAAGTAATTAATTATTTTTAAACTAATATCATTTTTTCATATTTATTCCTATTTAATAGAATATTTTATCTTAAAATAAATATAAAGTGATTTATTTATTATAAAAACTTTTAGAAAAAGCAGATTAATTATACCTTCAAAACACTAAAAATATTTTATATTTTTTAAAATTTAAATTCTCAAAAAATACTTACATTTTTTAATGAAAAGAGTATAATTTATTTTTCTTTCTCTAATTGTTTTTTTGAAAAAAAAAACAGATGGGTTGTTTGCCTGTTGGCTTCAGGTTACCCCAAGCCTTATAAATGCTATTTTTTATTTAAAAAATTGTAAGAATAAATAAAAATATTACTTTTGAAACATAAAATGAAAAGAAAAAAAGTCGAATAATATTTTAGGTATAAAATTTTTATTTCTATTGCTTTCACTTTTTGTTTTGTAATGTGATCTTCTTGTTATGGCATTTCAGTACTTCTGGAATACACGACCGCCTTGCTTTAAGATGGGTTATTCGGTAATTTGCAACGCAAACAATTTTTAATGTCTTTGATCGTTACGTCAGATTATCTTCGCTCAACACTCGTCAGATCAGGAAATAAATAAATAATTAGTCGTAGTTTTCAATCTTCACAATGGAAATAAGTTATAATTATCAATTTGTCCCAAAAAAAACATAATTATCAAACCCAACTCACATCGAAAAATTAAAATGACAAGACATATGTCTGGCCAGAAAATTTCAAGACATGTGTCCTGCTAAAACAGGCTTAACATGTTTTTGGGACAAAATGGACTTCAAAGTTAAAACAAGACCGACGCCCAATTAGAGTTTTTTTTTAATTATTGGGCCAGTAGGACCAGCGAAGATATAAATCTAGCCCAAACCCAATGAAAGGGTGTCATCATGTCCTTTCTGTTTTTAGGTTTCGACTTTTGATACCATAAACAAAACCCCTCCCGGCGTCTCCCTCATTATTTGTTGTAGTTGTTCTAACTTTAAGTTATAATTCTATGTTTTATCAAAAAAGAAAAAAAGTTATAATTCTATGGGTCATTGTGTAAATTTGCCTTGGCAATTTTTTTGGAGATACAATTAATATCCTTAACTATTTAAAGGTGTAATGTTGTCTCCCATATTTTTAAAATAGTGCAATATTGTTTTTGAGTTGACAGAAAAAATGTTGATCTTTAATTGACTGGTTTATGCTTATGCTTATGTGGCATGCTTATAAAGCTTCCAGATCATTCCTTTTTGTTAGCAAAAATATGAAAAAGGAAATAATAGTAGTAGTAGTCGCAGGTCCCACCATTTCCACCATGTTTCAGCTTCTTCCTCCTCCTCTCTATCATTACACCATCACCATTGCCGCATTCTTCTTCTTCCATGAGCCGTAAGACCACGCGTTCTGAATCTTGCTGAAGCATTTATTTTTTCTCTTTCTAGATTTTTTCGATATTGATTTTTATTATCTTGAGAGTTGAGACCTCTTCATTTGATTCCTTCTGAATCTTGGGTGACAATTATAATACCCCCAAGTCCCTCTCTCTATCGAATCTTGCTTTCTTATGCTTGAAAATCCTGTGCACGGATATAAGAAAAGAAAGGAAGCCATGAACCCAGATCGCTTCCTCTTTCTAGCCCTCGTGACTTCGCCTAAGTTTCCTAAGTTTCTTCTTCTCCCCCTCACTTGTCGAGATCCGATTCACAAAGATCTCTTGTTCCTCCAATTCCAAATCTCAACTCTTCCATTGCTCCCTCACTCCTTCGAGTCATTCTAAATCCTTGGCTTGAATGATGTATCGATTTCGGCGCACGCTTGCTCTTGCTGCGGGCATAGGAAGAGACAATGCATAAAGGTGACCTGATGACCACCGTGTAGCTCTAGACGACCTTGTCGGCATTGTCGAAGATGAAATCGATGGTGCCGAAGATGACGCTACCATGGTAGAACTAGCAATAGAACTGTAGTTACAAGTCAACCCATAATGCTTCCTTACTGGAAAAATCCTCCTCCTATTCAATAGATAAAGCTTCCACCTTTCAACATCAAGGACTTTAAATCCCCAACCCTGTGCCCAAATTTTTCCAGGTTTTTTATGAAGGCTCAAGATTAGTTCTTCAATTTCCCTGTTTTTTTTTATGCTGGCCTTTTTTTTTTTTTAACTTAGCTTTGAGTGATGTTGTTTCTTGGAAATCAGGAACCCATGCTTGAATTTGTTCTAATTGGAAGAGGAAATGAAGATGGTGCCAAAGGCCACGCTATCGTGGAAGAAGATGATCTGCATCTGAATGCTTCTTCAATCTCTCTCATACCACCTAAGATACAAAAAATAAAGGAAGAAAGTGAAAGGACACCACATGACATACCACTTCAAAATAAACAGTCAAGTAACGGTCAAACATTTAAATTTATTAAAATTAGACAGCATTGCTACGTTTTTAAAAGATTAGGGGGGCATTGCACTTTTAAAAACTTAAGGATGCTAATTGTACCTTCAAAAAAACTTCAGGGACAGATTTACACATTAACCCTAATTCTGTTAAAGGTTTTAAATGAAAAACATGGTTACAAATACTTAACTTCACATAATTGTTTTTTTGGGTATAAAGTCATTTTTTTTTTATCGCGAGCCTGTTCATGAAATTTTAAAACTCAGAATCATACTCCATCATATAAAAAATTTTGAAAAAATCAGAAAAAGTCATGACTTGGATGTTGAATGTAAACTACGCCCCAAAAATAATCGATTGCCTACAATAAAGTGCTGAAGGAAAGATGCATAGAGATGACTGAATTTTGATTCATTATGCTTCTAGTTCATATGTTTAACTGGTTAGCAACATAACAAAGCAAATACAGAGAATCTGAAATGTCAGCGCACATCCCTTTCGTCGGTAGTTTAAAGGTTACATGCTTCGGGGGAAAAAAATGTGACTGAGCCGCTGGCGTGCTCCCTTGAGTATACTAATCCATGGCCAGTTTCTCCAACCTGCACCCTCCATTCTGATTTTGTCTCACTATAATGCCAATCAAGTTTCAGAAGATGGACAAATCTGGAGGCGGTCCATATACAGTCATCCAAGAGAGCGGAACGCGCCATTTATCAGCACCACTTCCTGAAGAAGCATGATATGAAATATACTGATGTAAGAGTGGGTATATTTTATTATTTTGCTAGCAGACACGACTACTCATTACCTCCTAAGAGAACCTTTAATGTTGAGTAGGCAAAAGATCATACACTGATACGGTTTAAAAGCAAGATATATTAAAAGGAAGCTCCAAGTCAGGTTGCATCGGGAGATATTTAAGTTATGAGTCTGGCATGTTGCTAATTGAAATAAATCAAATTATCAAATTATTTGAAATAAATAAATAAAGCTCACCATTGGGATTCAGTGTAAGAAGTTTGCATGCAGCATCGGCTAATTGAAAAGCATCAGGCATGTTGTCTCCTTCTGAGCAATAACATAACAGGCAAGTCACCTTCAAACCTTTGGCCTAATAAAATAAAGCTTGTGATCAGGTGACCTTTTAATTTTCAGCCACATACAAGCATAACCTCAAGTTCATATTTTTCATTTTATTCTTTCTCTGCAGGAGGGAAAAAAAATAAAAGCCATCCCCATCCCTTTGATTTATTTATTTAGTTCCAGTGAAGGATGCATTCTTAAGTATTTAATCCATAATGCACAGTATCGCACGTGTAGCTCCTAGATTTCACCATCACAGACAAGGTAAGTTGATCATAACTAAGGCCTGAAGCTTTCAACATATGTATTGCACAAAATATACCCAGGAAGCAGGAGGGAGATAAAATAACACTGTTTCTAGATGACAATTATTACTAAAAATAAGAAAATCATAATTATACAAAACAAAAAAATTACCTTGAGAAATGAAAAAAGAGCAGCAAAAGGCAAGCTAGCATAATAATTTTCTTCTTCCAATTCATCCTCTAAAGGAGAGATTTCTTCCCCAGTTGCATTTCCTTCAGCTAAATTGCTAAGATATTTCCAATGCTTCTGAGAAGGGTTGTATTCCTGAAGTTTCTTCCACCCGAGTTGCTCGCACTTTTCATCTACTCCGCCATTGCTGGCACTAGAGAGGTAATATATCTGCAAACCACTAAAGTGAAAGTATACATATCAGGTATTACATATGATACAATGTGCACTTGCTAATCATATTACATGGCTGGACACTTACAATTTACAATATTGTCAAGGTGATTCAGTTAAGACATGATCTTGATAAAGCTATAATTTGACACCAAACAAAAAGAGTACAGGTCTGTACCTTGACATGTCAACTCTTTGCCACTTCCCAAAATCTAAGCTAGAGAGCAAAACAATATGCTTCTTCCCAGAAACATAAACAAAATCAGACAAGTTCTTTGCAAATTCAAGCATCATACCCTGCTCAGATGAAGACATAAAATTTAATAAATTTCCCTCTCCATTCCAAATTACTGGTGCCAATTAGGTAATTAAAAGCAACTATACATCATCAAGAGTGAAACTAGCACCAAGATGAAGCAAAACGTAGACACAACAATAGTAAGCTAACTTATAAAGCAAGCAGTAAGACAATGTTAGCTTTGAATCAGAAAATGTGGTGAAAGTCATGCTTAACATTCATCATATCTTCGGTAAAATGGACATGCACTGCCGGAGACAAGCCCGGATGTGTAAAGGGACAGCCATGATACCCAGCAGGTGAATACTTAAAAGCATTGGTCAGTGAATGAATCATGTCGAAGCGAAACTGTGCTACCTCGGAAGAGATGATGGTACGCAACTGAATCAATTTAAATGAGAGAAGGTGACCTGGAGTGATACCTTAACGATTGGGGATCTCTGTTGGATAATAGTGATCGCATTAGAAGGAGAATCATAAACTGCAAGCCAAGTTTAAAAAAAAAAAAAAAAAGTTGACAATTTTCAGCGCAAAAATTTTAATGCAGGTATTACAACTGTCACAGGTCACAACCAAAAGTGTAAGGTAAGGATCACCTTCAAGAGGGAGCGCAAGGTCGCCTTGAGGAACAGGTCCATAAGCATCGTTCCCAACACAGGGGAGAACATGAGGGTCATCCAAATATCCAACTCGTTCTGATCCCATTGATGAAACTAAAAGGTCAGCAGCAAGCTGCCCCACATTCCCAATCGACAAGGCAGGCTAAACGCACGGAAAAATTAGCATTAATGAAATTATAGAATCCAAAAAAAAAAAAAAAACAGAGAGAGAGAGATAGAGAGATAGAGACAGAGAATCCCACGATTTCCCCAACAGTCAACCAAAATTTTCATATCATTTTGCTTCCCCCCGTCTGGTTAGCAGCACACAAGGGTGAAATGAAATCAAAATTAGCAAATTCTTTGAAAGGCTCTCAGAGCAGGAGAAGGAGAACAAATTAATTGGATTAATTTACACTTAAAAAATAATAGAATCTAAGAAACCCTAGAAAATCATACGAACCAAAATCAAAGTGGTGCAATCTTCATGAAGACACTTGCCTTCTTCGGGAACGAAATCCATCCTAGACGCCATTACCGAAATTTGGTCCTTTCTTGTCGGTCAGGTTATGCTTCTGATTTTGTTGGCATCTGAACTTCGAACGATTTAGTTTTTGGGCTTTGCTCTTAGCAGGTTGGGTTGCCTGTTCTTACTTCTTACATTCGATTTTCTTTCTGTTATCTTTTGTTCGTGATTGTGGATTTATTTTTAAACGACATTACCATGGGCCTATAAATAGGACAGGTACAAAACGTGATTCGTGAAAGCCTATGTAGGAAATAAGTCGAGCTATTTTGTGAGAGAGCAATCCAAAGCCCATCAATTAATGCCCCATAGAAAAATGGAAATAAAATAAAATAAAGGCCCGGAGCTCCATTTTTTTTGCTCCAAATTATGATTACTGATCTGTTCAAAATTTGTCTTAATAGTTTTAAGTTTTGACCATGTACTTGCTCATTTCCGATATATGTTTTAAAAATATACGCAGCTATATTTATAAAATCTATTGGAAATTACTCTATTTATAAACCATAAAAATTGTGGCTCATTTTGGACTCGGTGCCAATATATTACATTTTACTTTCTTATAACACATTGATCGATTCGTATAGTAAGGAAAAAAAGGTCTATTTAAAAAAAAAAACAGAGAGAGATAACCATCATTTATCAGTTGTAAATAGCATAGTCATGTTATTATTCATACAAATGCGCAAGGACCGCTAAATATGTGATTGGGAGCGTGTTCCGCACCCCCCAAATTCCTTTTGATTTGATGGGAGCGCAAAAAGGGAGGGGTTCAATTCAAACATGCTCTAACACACATGCTATGCCAATGTGTATTTTTTATTAATAAACCAAATAAATAGACCAGTATTTTAGTAGCGAATGAAATGTCCTAGTTATTCATATTCACACACACACACACACACACTGGTAGTTGGATTATAGGTATAAACTATTGACCACACCTGTGATATCTCTGGAAGTTGCAATCATACACTTGATGCCAGCCAACATTATTCATCTGATAATAAATAATCAGAGAAGTTGGTCTGATCTTCTTCAGAAGCAGACAAGTAGCTAGAATTTGTTGGGTCAATGTGGTTCATAATCAGTGATTAAAGACGTATCCTACAAATAATCCTCGAATGAGGATCGGATATTTTGTTTTGTAGGCGGATAGAAAAGTAGAAAAGTCGAGGAAGGGAGAGCCAAGTGGAAAGCAGGAAGAGTGGACACAAGTGCTTCGTTTGGTAAGCACTTGCAGATCTGCATGCTCGAGAAGGAAGCCAAGTGTACAGCACTAACTTAGGAGTAGGCTGCATTTGCACCTTCTAGATCTGCTCCCCACTCCTCTCATCACTCTCTCATAATCTCAATCATTCATCATCTCTCCAATCAACTTCCCTGTTGGACCATACCCGCCTCATCAACAAACATTCTCGTTCTTTCCTTCCTCAATTTGCCTCAATTATCACTCTAATCTCTCAAGTTTAATTTTAAAAGTGGGATAACAGTAAAATAATTTCAAAATATATAAATGATAAATAAGTACCATGAAATGATATGTAACATCATTTTCTAGTGTTAAGGGATTTATTTGACATCTTGGATTTTTGTAAAATGACATTTTGCCCCCTAAGTCCCTCTCTCTAGCCTTTTCTCTCCCCTTCCATCTCCCCACTCTCTCCCAAGCATTATTGAAATCGGATTGGACGATCTGACCACCACCTACTGAATAAAACGATTTGGTTCAATCAGTTGAATCAATCTAATATTTGAATTGGGTTGACTCAGATTGACCCGGTCGGTTTTGAAAGAACTGGCTTTGACCCAGAAACCAAAGCGAGTCAACTCGTTCAAAGCTAAAAAAAAAAAAAATTAGGCTAAGTTACTTAGATTCATAATTTTTCTTTTTAATCACTAATTCTCTTTTGTCTTGTCTTCTCTGATCTCTAATATCTCCTCCATCTCCCAAGCTCAATCTTTGACTTCTCCTCCAACCTCTGCCTCCAGCTTTAGCAATCCAACTTTTGGCATCGAGATGAAAGCTTTTGAGTCATGACATGACAGCGTGCCTTCAGCTCCAGCATTTTCCTTCGATATCACAAACTTATGCCGACATGCCTCTACCTCCAACTCCAACGGTCTAGGCATCTAGCCTTAGGAGTGGGGATCCAAGCACCATCAACAAATTAATATTTTGTTTATATATTTGTGCATTTAAATATTATTTTTATTTAATTTTTATGTTATCATTTTGACCGCCGGTTTAACCAATTGAAACATCAAAACTGTGACTTGAAGCTCTTTTTGAGATGTCCGGTTCTGGATTTCAAAACACTGCTCTCTATTCAATCTATCATCTTTAACTTCCCATCTATACTCTTCGAGCTCTCTCCCCCTCCTCGCATCTTGATTCTATCAAGCCCTGGTAAGAGTTCATTTTGCACATTTGCAGATGGTGCTGGTGAAGAACCATGTTGTGGTATGGGATTCACAAGGGAGGCGGGACGAGGATAATAGGTATGAGTGTATGACAGTGGCGTCATATTTTGTTATGGCACTCTTCTTCACATTAGCGACTAGCTATCGTTGACCTTAGTTAGGTTGTTAATGATGAGGGTGGTGGAGATCAAATGGGATGTTCTTAATGTTTAATCTTAGGAAACTCATTTGGCAATTCGACACACACGCAGTCACACAAGGTCATAAATTCATCTGCACAAGATCATTCACCTTCATCAAATCTGCCGCTTCCATCAACAATAATGCAAATGAAGCAAGCAAGATCTAATTCTTCTTCACCAAATTTGATCTCCCTCTACCCACATTCTCATCATTAGGTTTGGTTCATAAGAACTTTAGTTGTCAACATTAATGAAACATGAATTTTTTACAACAGCCTTCTATTTTTGCTGGGACCTTATGAATTCATAAAAAATCAGGGTTTGAAGAGTTTTATATCAAGGGAAGAGCAACATGATTGGTATGCTTTTTTTATCTGGGTTGATGGCTATGAGCTGTAAGCTCCTTCTTCAAAGGGTTTATTCACTGAATTCAATTTCTAAGCTGAAGTTAGGATGTAGGTGTTTGCATTTCTAATGATCGAATTGATTGGGTCTACAGGCTGCTCTCTCCCTCCCTCCCTCTCTCTCACACACACATTTTTCAGAGAAGTAAAATAGTATTTTCACATTAAAATTAATTGACAAACAAATCCTTTAAGACTAAAACATAATTATCACATTTTGCTATGCCTATTTGTCGTTTATGTTTTTATTGTCACTTTCTCTTTAATTTTTATCACTTTAAAATTTCTTATTCTTTCTTAAGTTATCATGTTATGGCCATTAAGGTTTTGAAATATAAATTGACTTCCAGATTAATTTGATGCTTGCAAAGTATTTTGATAACTTAGCTTGTATGTGTTTGACCTAAATGATAAGAATGGACTTTCACAAGTCATATGATTTCATTATTTTCCTTTTCTTTTGGCCAAAAAAAATATTTTCTTTCTTTTTCCTTCACATGAATTTCGTTAACATATATATATTTTATATATTAGTTTAATTTGAGAGCTAATATGGGTTTCAAAACTTAAAGGATGACTAACATAATAGCTTAAGAAAATGTAAGGTACAAAGTTAAAATGATAAAAATTAAATTTGAGAGACCAAATTGATAACGGATACAAATTTAAAGAATCAAAAGTTTGATTATCCCGGTACAAGTCCTTTCATTTACTTATGATGCATGTGCAAAAACAAATAATAGTATTCATAAAAAAAGGTTTATGTGTTAATTGTTTGCATATTTTATGCTAGTATATATTGTAGTGTCTACATTTAGTGCTCATCACTGATGAGCATCAATTGCTCCTCAATATCTGGCCATCCATTTGCTTTCAAGATGGTCCCCATGGTTCATTTTAAATTAATTTTTAGTTATTTTAAATACTATATTTATCAAAATAAAATTTATAAAAATTTTAAAAAAATTTTAATATTAAATCTGAACTTGAATATCTATATAGTCAATTTATAACATTATAAAAAAATTTTAATATTAAACTAGACCATAATATTGTCTAAAGAACATCTAAATAATTAATTTATGAAAATTATAAAAAAATTTAATACTAAATTTATTTGTCCAAATTAAATCTGCACGCTGATCTTGTTGGCGGTAATCAAATTTTTTAAAAAAAATTAATTTTTATAAATATAAAACGAAAATAAAAATAAAAATATTAAATTTATACAGTCTAGATTATCAAGGGGATAAGCATGGAAGACTTTCCAGACTTGATATTAAATTTTTTATATTAGTTTGATAAATACAATTTAAAAAATTATAAAAATCAATTTAAAATGAACAGGGGGCTTGAGAGAAAATGGAATGCCCAAATGGCAAATGATCATGGAGAATCGAATGCAATACATTGTATGACAATCAACATTCGAATATATAAACTTATGTGAAGTGGCATTTTGGCAATTGTAGGGGGAGACAAGGTGGTACATCACAGAGCATTATCATGCCAATGACAACTGTTTGCAAACGTATAGAAGCCACGAATTTTATCAACTTATACATAAGCCAGAAGAATTAAATGAGGCTGCCAACCTCACACATAGTATCATGTCTTACCCAGAATAATGCAGAAATCGGACCTATATATCAAAGCAGAAAATTAGGATGTTCACACAAATAAGTGTATAGCCTTTTCAACTTTTCTCATCTACTCATATATATGTATATATGTATGCATGGTTAATAATAATTCATACTTGTACAGCAAATGAAGTCTTGAATGCATAGCCATAGCTAGGCATATGAAATTATGTGCACCTTGAAGTTCTAAAGGCTAAGTACATAGTTGCTCCTACCAATTTAACAGCCTCTATGCATGTTTCTCTCTAGTTTCTTGGTTGATGTGCGCATGAGATCGAATTAACTGCAGAGAAAACACATTTAACTCTCTGTCAACTTAAGGTAAATTAGTATAAATTCTTTGGCGGAAAGCCAATTTCAATGCAGATTATTATGATAAATAAGATCTCCATATAAGTTTTGACCTCGTCAAAAACACCTTTAATTTGATAAAAGGCGTGTGGTTATATTTTCTAATGATCAGCCAATAAAGTTAAAGGATTTGCGCTGACTATCACATCATAACTGTACATCATCAATCTATCTGTGTGTAAGTAATTTGTCTTCACATCCAGATGTATGTGTGTGATGGTAGCTAGCTAGCTTTTAACCTAGCTAAGCTAGGAGAGTACTGCACCTGCCCTGGTCTAAATCATCAGCACTCACATCTTGTTGGGTTTAAATAACTTTTAATGCAATTAGTTTACATAACCCTGCCACGTCTTGCCACTAAAGTATATTATTACGTGAGAATCCGTTTTGCACCAGCATAATCGACCTGTCTGAGCCATAGGAGACATGTATAACAGTAGCAACACGTAAGCTAAATCATTGCAGAGAAAAGAAATATTTTGACTAGGTAACCAATAACCATGCTTATTTGACATATAAGGGTGGTATGATCCTACTGGTCTAAATTGCCACTTCCCTCTCTCTTTTTTTATTTCTAAAAAAAAAAAGTATCACACAAAAATCAATTAACTATATTAAATTTGTTTAAAAATAAAAAAATAAATTATAATACTTTTTATTAATTATTTTTTATAATTATAAATGATAAAATTATAAAGAATAATTTAAAAGGCTCGCAATAAATATTTATTAAAAAATATAATTTTATTTATATAAAAAAATAAGTTAAAAATGATAGTTTTCTTGTAAATGAAAACAAAAGGAGAACGTTACTTCCTTTTAAGAAAGGGGGAAAAACGTAAAGAGTAAGATTAAGATGGAAGGAAGAAAGGAGATTTAATTAGCCAAGTGTCTAACAAGGAAAATATGGAAGACGCATCATGGACATAAGCTACGTCATTTCATATGTGTAGATAACTCTAACTTAGGTAAATGATGCTGGTCAAAAATAATGCACGTCGATGAATCTGAGTTGGTGTGGCTGTTTTTGGTGACACGTAGAATTTGAGGTCAATCCAAAATAAGGTACAAGCCAGCTACATTAATCTCACGGAATCTTATTCATGCATGTTCAACAAATTAAACTGACCCAATCGCTGTTATTCGCCGCGTGTTCTCCGCCGCTCTAAAAAAAAAAAAAATCCTTTGCAGTGCCAAAGCTTGTTTTATTTTTATTACGTATAGTTATATTATCCCATTAAACACAATTATGCTCGATATACGATGTGGATACCTCAATTCTAATACTAGAGATTCGAATTTTATTAGTTCACAATGTTTTGAGAAACTAACACATTTCGCTTGCTAGATTCAACTTCTCATACATGATGTGTATTTTTCAACCTTAAGCCAAAGTTGCCAATCATGTGTCTCTACGCAATTAAATCAAATACCATGTACATTTTTAAGTGTCCAAATACTTTTGAAGATATATATATATATATATATATATAGGAAAGATGTGTGTACTGTAAGATAAAATATATATATATATATATATATATAAAATAATGGATAACTGTTTCTGTTTTTTGGGTACAGAAAGGCAGGCGACAATTAGAACAATAGAATGAGACACAAAATACATTGCCGGGACATTCATCAATGAGCATTCTCCTGCATTCATCTGGCCAATCTTGGAGAATCCGGAATTGATCATCCATATCATAGGTGAGTTGTAGATGCGCGCGATTTGCCAAGAATATCTTTGCCAAATCGGGCTAATTTCCCAGAAGGCGTAAGTTTTTGTTCCTTCTATATATATTAATTATTTATTCATTAGGATTAGGATTAGGGTGTGTGTGTGTGTGTCTTTATATATATGTATAAACAATATCATAATGCAGAACAAATGCAACAACTGGAGGAAGCAGGCACAAAACCAAGATGACATAAAAATTAATTTAAAAAAATACGATTTTTTGGCTCCAATAATGGAAGTGGACAAATTAAATGTTTGATTAGCATATGATGACCTTGCTTGTTCGGGAAAGAGCCAGGTGGCCGTCACAGTGCGAACCTTTCTAATGTTATAAATATGAAGTATGTAATGCATACCACATCATATCATGGTTTGGTCTATCCTAATAAACAGCTTGAGACCAACATGTTTTTTTTTTTAAGCCCCGGACATGAAAGTATCTTTGTGTAAGGTTATGATGATCGTGCTTATGCTTTTGTGGACCCAATTTTTGCCAGCATTTTGTGTCAAACACGTAGCAAATATCGGATAAACTTTTGTAGCTTTCCCTGTGGAAGCCTGGAAGGGGTATCATGCCGACACGGAGACCTAAACAAAACCATTCGTTACTGGGGGGCCGGGACATATCATGTACTGAACATACGTTCATGCAGATTGTGCATCCAAAAATATAATTAAAAGGAAATCATAATCATATGTTGTTGATGAGTAGTAACAATCACAAAATTCGATCTGATACCTGAAAATAGTGCTGTCTAGACTCCCAAATGCAAGAACAACTTATAATCAAAAGTGATTAGACAGTTATATATATATATATATATATAAAGTCAATATAGTCCTCGGAAGAGGCGAGAGGTTAATTTAAGGATGAAGATATATGTGCAACGTTAAATTGACCAAGTATTGGGAAACGTGAAGCATGAACGACCTTTGTTTTTTGTTTTTTGTTTTTCCTTAGGCGAATGAACAACCTTTGTTGTAAGTAACATGTATATCAGTTTCCTAGAAAGTGATGCATTTAGATTTTGACTGTACCGTCCACACATGTTTTATGGTACGTTACGATATCAAGATTCAATTGGACCATTCTTCCTCACATGCTAATCATGATTCATGAATTTTGCTCATTGCCAATGTACAGTTATGAAGTCAAAGGTTAATCGTGCCTTGGCTAACTTAACCACGTCAATCGTATCGTGATCTGTTTGGAAGAAATTCCACCACCCTGTCAGTTCTCACGCTGCCTCCATATCAGTTAACACTATTAATTAATCTATTATAACCACTGCTACATAAAATCTCAATTTATTATTATTATTATTATTATTATTTGTTTGGGGCTCATAAAAACTAAAAAAAACTATACCATGTCTATATTTTATCTGATGAAAAATAAACAAGAATAAAAGATAACGTTCTATATCAATATATATAAATCTAATATAAAATGTATATTATATATTCTCGTCTAGTTTAATTAAATGATTGCAATGTTTTGGTGAAAAATAATCTTATTATTACGTGAACAATATGCTTAAATTAATCTCACTAAAAATTATAAATTCTCATTTCTATATATAATACTACATATTTTATTGAATAATAATCTCATTTTCAAAATGGCATGAATGAATTATATATACAATTTTTTTTAAAAAGGGATATTATTAATTTAATCAAATGCAATAACCGTATATTATTATTTAGAGTAAAATACAATGACATTCCTTCTGTTTTGTTAAAATTATAGATACCTTCTTTTTATTTTAAAAACTTACACTTTAGTCCAAATTTTAACACCATTTTAATCTAATTTTTAACACCATTAAAAATATTCCGTTAAATATTTTAAAATACTTAACTTCTCATTTGCAATTATGTTGAAAATTTTAAAATTATTAATTTTTCCTAATAATCTAATTGTATATTCTCTCTTCCTATCTTAAAAACGTTAAATAATTAAGTATGTGGATAGTTAAATAAAAAACTTAAAATTTTATGATAAAATTAATTAGATTTTAAAAAACATAATTTATATTAAGTAATTTATTATATTAAATCCTTATTTTATTATTAGCCAAAAAATCTGTATTTCATTAAGTTTTCTTAATTTCATGTTTGAAATATTATTTTTACTTATTTTTACATTTAATGTTTTTTAAAATACTAAATAAATACTCTTAAAAAATGAAAAAAATATAAATTAAAAAATTAATAAAATGCATTAATTTTTAGGGTAATTTGAATGATTTTAAATAATATTTATATTTAAAGAGGTGGAATTTTTGTTCCATATGTATAACTTAACAATTAACTAAAGATTGGATGGGTAAAAATAAAATTTTAAAAATAGAGGAGATGTTTATATTTTATATTTAATCAAATTAGAGAAATTTAATATGGGTTTTAAAAATATATATATATATATATATATAATTGAAATAAAATAGAAAGAAGATCATAATATTTTTTTCATTATTTAATTAGGCAGACAAGAGAGACATTTTTTTGTAGGAGCGGAGGCGCAAAAAAATTTGATGCCCTTAATACTTAATGGGCCGTGAAGGTGAGGGAAATTCGAAAAGACGCTACAGTACAACAAAGCCTCCCTCCATATTTCAGATCATTGAGTGACCGGCTTACCCGGTTTCCCGGCTCCATCGTCCCTTGAGGTGCCACGTGTCCTCCAGCTTCATTCTCGTTCAACTTGATTTTGAACAGTTTTATTCCCTTCCATTTCTTTCCATATATACACACCCTCCATCCCCTCTCCCAACTTTCCTCAACGCCACAAAACGCCTCTTGCAGACCAACCCACGTCCCCAAGTCTCTCTCTCTCTCTCTATCTATCTATCTCTCCGTCTCTCTGTTAAGCTTCTGTTCCTTCATTTCCTCTTTGGATTTGGATGACAAACCAAACCGGTGGTGCTACCACCATGACAGTGGAGAAAACCACCTTGCACCGTCCTAAATTCGGATCCTTCCTGCACTCCGAACCCACCTCGCTTTACATCGTCGGCGCCCAGGACTTCTCCGTTGACAATGGCTTTTCCCACCACCACCAGCGCCACAGCAACGTCGATGCAACCGCGGGGGGCCTCGAAAGCGCCCTCTCCAGCAACAATAGCTCGCCTTACTTGATGTCTCCCTGGAGCCAGCAAGCCCCCGACACCTCCCCGTACTCCAAATCTCCCTGGTTCCTCTCGTCGTCCATCGCTCCTCCTGGTTTCCACGAATACGATGACCATGGCTTTCCGCCGCACGGCCTCATTGGCTCGCTCGTACGTGAAGAAGGGCATATATATTCGCTCGCCGTGTCTGAAGATTTGTTGTACACGGGTTCCGATAGCAAGAACATAAGGGTGTGGAAAAATTTAAAGGATTTCGCTGGGTTCAAATCGAGCAGTGGACTGGTGAAGGCCATCGTGATTTCTGGGGACAAGATTTTTACGGGACACCAGGATGGGAAAATCAGGGTGTGGAAGTTTACGCAGAAGAATCCAACCTCTTACAAACGCATCGGGAGTTTGCCGACCCTAAAGGATTACGTGAAAAGCTCCATGAATCCGAAGAATTATGTCGAAGTCCGGCGGCGCAAGAACAAGGTGAAAATCAAGCATTTTGATGCCGTTTCGAGTTTAAGCCTGGTGGAAGATCAAGGATTGTTATACTCCGGCTCGTGGGACAAGACGCTTAAGGTTTGGAGGTTATCGGATTCAAAATGCTTGGAATCGATCCACGCCCACGAGGACGCCGTCAACTCGGTGGTCGCCGGGTTATACTGCTTCGTTTTCACGGGATCCGCCGATGGCACGGTGAAGATGTGGAGGAGAGAAATGGTGGGAAAAGGGAAAACAAACCACCTTCTGGATCGCATTCTTCTGAGGCAGGAAAACGCCGTAACGGCCTTGGCAGTGAACCGCGAGTCCAGTGTGGTGTACTGTGGGTCGTCCGATGGGTTGTTGAACTTCTGGGAAGCAGACGGAAAGGGAAACCTCTTTCACGGTGGTGTTCTTAAAGGTCACAAGCTAGCCGTTCTTTGCGTTGCCGCCGGCGGTAACCTCGTGTTCAGCGGCTCAGCGGATAAGAACATATGCGTGTGGAAGCGAGAGGACAGCGGAACCCACTCGTGCCTCTCGGTTCTTACGGGTCACACCGGACCCGTCAAATGCATCGCCGTGGAAGAAGAAAGAGCTGAAGTATCGGAAGAAGATGAATGCAAACAGGATTATCATCATCGGTGTCCTACGACGGAGGGAGGAAGACGATGGATAGTGTACACGGGGAGCTTAGACAATTCAGTGAAGGTGTGGCGCGTACCGGAGCACGCGCCGGAGTTGAGGATGTTCCAAGGGTTAGTGAGTAAAGCCAGTGGTTCATCTTTACCTGGAGGGATTGATAACAGGTGGCACTTTCAAAGTGAAAGTTAGTGAGGATAAAAGTGTTGACAATGCTCTCCACATGGACGAGGAGATCACGCTCAGCCAGAGTAAAAGTGGTAGGACTGAAGTAGGATGTGTATGTTAATTACGCTGGAGTCCCCCACCAATGCATCTCAAAACTTGCCTCGATGATATATATGTTGTTTTTGTATGATTTTTTTTTTAGTTTTTTAATTAACCTATCACTGGTCTTTAAACATATATGATCTTATTTTCATTAATATGAGAGGAGAGAGGATCACGTATAAAAAGCTTAGAAACTAGCGGTGAAGGTGTTAAAACAAGCGTAGAGCTAGAGGTTCGGGGCAAAAGGGTAAACAAGGAAGAGGTTATTGTGAAAGTGAGTGATTGGAGTTCTAGCTCGAAGCTAAACAAGTACTCTCTTTGTTTTTTATTATTGGAGAAACTATTATTTTTAATTTATATTTTTCATAAGTAAAATTATCCATTCTAATAAACATTTGTTACATATATCTTAAATTATCTCTCATAATTTACATTAATAAAAAATAATTAATGTGTACTTATATTGATTAATACAGGGTATTTTAGTCTACTTTTTTATTTTCAGATATAATTATTATAATTAATTATTTTTTTAAATTGTGTGATATTGTTTATATATATATATATACGTAGGAAGTAAACATGAGTGGTTGGACGAGGGATTGCTAACTCTGGTGCATGGACTAATTAATCTAATTTACTAGGGCTTGCCCTTTTGTCTTCGAGCTCTAGCTATCAAAAGATATTCCTAGCCTCATCCAAAAAATGTAGATAAATTACTTTTAAATTTTACCTAATTGTTAGCTCATGTCTTTTCTTGAATTTGGGGTTCATGTTTGTACAACTATAAACTTATAAATCATATTTCCATACCCTGCAAAAAAAAATTACAAAAATATTATTTTTAATTAAACTCAACAATATCTAAATTTGATTCCATGGTATCAGATATTCCATAGATGATGTATTAAAATAAAAAAGATGTATACATCAAATGAAGGAAGCTATCAAAGTCAAAATTATACATGAATAAATAATCAATATATACAGAGCATTAAAGAATCTGCTGAGGGTTCTTCTATAAAAACATAAAAAACAGAATATACAGAGGGGATATTACATATTATAGTCACACACAATTCATGAATAATATGTATATACATATATGGTTGAAAAATATTTCTCCAAGGCGAAGCTAGTCTATAGGGATAAAACAGTAAAGAGATGGATGTTTTTTTTAATCGAAAATAAATTAATTATTCTTTTTGAATCCCTTTAGGGCAATGATATTAGGTTTTGGTTGGAAAAATGACGGATGGACAGTTGGGTTTGCCTAAAAAAGAGGGGAGAACATTTTGGTAGCTAGTGAGATGTAATGAGTCGTGGAACGTAGCAAGGAGAGAGTAATTCCCTGAAAGGAAGGGTCTAATAGTGGCCTGACACGTCAGGAGACAGCATGGACACGACAAAGATGGCAAAACGACGTTTTAGTTTGTGTCGATCTGTTGGGAGGCTTTTCGTTTTCGTCAGTGACACTGCAATACCTCGTTTGGTACAAAAGAATGACTTTTGATAGGATGAGAATGAGAGTGGTATTAGGCTTAAAAAATAGGAAAAATTTCAATAAAAACCCTTTTGTCATAGTTAATAAAAAAACTTGAAAAATTTTAAAATTTTAGTATGTTACAACAATTCAAGAATATGCAGTGAAATTAAAATGTTAAAAAAAATTACCTGATTGTCCCTCTTAAAATATAGTTATTTATCCATTGCTTTAAGTTGTTCGTTTTTTTATATGTTGTTGTTTATTACTCTACATTAAGTTATGTATTCTCTATTGTTCATTGTTTGTCTATTATTTTCAGTTAATAATAAACTTTTTCCCTTGCTTTTGGACATTTGTAATGGATAAACAATAGATAGTGGGGCAGTGAACAACTTAATATAGGGTAATGAACAACAATATATATCAAAATGAACAACTCATGTCAACATGATGACAATACTTGGAATGAATTCAACCGAAAGTTATGGATAAATAACAAACAGTAGGGTGATGGACAACTTAATGCATAAGGTAATAAACAACAGTATATAAGGAAATGAATAATTTGTGTTAGCATGATGACAATACTTGAAATAAATTCATTTGAAAGTGATGCATAAACAATAAATAGTAGGACAATAAACAACTTCGTGCAAGGTAATAAACTATGTAGGGAAACGAATAACTTGTGTTAGTATGATGATAATGCCTGAAATGAAATTAATGGAAACAAATGGACAAATGACAGATAGTAAGGTCATGAACAACTTAATGTAGGATAAAAAACAACGGTATGTACAAAAATGAGCAACTACTATTAGCATGCTGACACTAAGTATTTGAATATGTTTTTCTTGTTCGGATATATTCTAATATACATGACTTGTTGGGTTTGAAATATATATTTGTTTGCGATTTCTATTCGGAGATAATATACCATGTAGTATGCTCTCATTGCATTTAATGAGTGACACTAAGCTTGGATTGACTTATCTTTAATTGGGTTTGTTGGTTCCAGGCATGTTGTAAGGAAGTATATAAGATGTGTCATGCATTTTTCTTCAGATTGTTTGGATAAATTGTGTTTGAAAACTCATTGTAATATGCCCACTCAGCAAACGCATGGTTAATTACCTTACATGTATCATTGCATATTAATTTTATTTATTGAGACATTTATGTCTCATTCCCCATTTTATAGAAGTGGGTCTAGCTACGAAAGCACTAAAGGCCTAAATTAGTGTATGAGACACTAGTTCTTTTGTCTTACCTTTTCTTAATTATGTAATGTATAATTGCTAACCTAGGATAATTATGATTACAATTGAGCATGTAAACTCTATATTTTAATTAACTTCATATATAATGTCATGAGGATTTTATCTATTCCTCATGGTCTTGATTGTTTACTTGAAACATTGATACTATGATTAATTTTTTTTGGAACCTTGATTAGTTAATTGTGACTATACAATTGTATTATGTAAAGGATGTCCTAAATTAGAACTTAATCATCAAACTAACTATAGTAAATTAAGGACTAACCCAAAAGGATTATCCTATTAGAGATTAACCTAAACAAATTCTTAACATATATTTTCACAAACAATTCAATATAAAGGGATTCCAAATCTTTAAAATATTTCAAGAACTCATATCATTCAATTAAACATATGTGGAAGCATGATAAAGGAAACACATCAACATGGGAGAAGAGTTTCCCCCTTTATTCTCTATATGCCTTACTCTACAATACATATATACATATTTACGACATAACATTTGGCCACTCAAACCCTTCCATAACTGGCAGCGGGGGGTCAAGGTCTCAATTACATTTATCACAATGATTATTACGTAATCATCATACTCTATATATCACTCATCAATAGCCTATCATATACATGAATTTCTCTTTTCATTCACATATAATTAATATCAACTGCTCACCCTTGAATATCAAAAATACAAGGGGAGATTATAACAACATTCAAGTTCTCAAATTAGGCAATATTAACTATTTCTATTTGTACAAATATTTTGGCCCGTTAATATAGCACAAGCATCAAATCACATTCTTCAGGGCCCAAAATACATTTCCCCCAACACAAAACCCATAATGCAAGTGGATCAAGAATATAGTATCCTAGTTGGCAATATCATAAACTAAATACACATATCAAAATAAAAAGAGAAAGGCCTACAGAAGTGATTACTATCACTTGGCTAAATGCTCCTTTCCTCTGTTCTTCTGAGATGAGCTAGCTCCTGTAATATGTTAAAAGAAAGGGGTGAGCATAACTACTCAGTAACCAAGGTACATCCAAGTTATACAAATACATGATAATTAATCATGAATGCAAGTGGTTAATTAATTTATCAAGGTGACCATTCAAACAATCACATTAATAACATGTTAATCACATTAACATTTAACTCATGTGAATAATTTCAAGAATAAAGTCAAGTACAAAATTTACACAAATAGCCACATATACGTTATTCGCATAATTACTACATATTCTCATTTTTACAATTATAATCATATTCTTAACATAGCCATCGATCACTCAAATGGCATGATAGTAATAATATGCATGATCGATTTCTTCCTTATATCCCCCCTTATTTCCTCTGACATGAAATCCGTGGGCCAACAATCGAAAAGGATCGTCCATGTGGTGAGACTACCCAAGGCCTTAATCATATCTTGAGGGGCTATCGGGCCAGGGTTACCTTACTCACTTATGAACACGGTTTCCCCCAAATCACACACTATAGGGTGTCATACCCAAAACTAGCTCTACCCAAAACTCCAGATAGGCCAGTAAGATCAAGTCCCTTAATAGGAACAATGTTACAGTACCTTATGTAACACTTGCCTCGAGTGTTATCCAAAAATCATATAATTCAAACAAACTAAGTGTGGTTAAGGAGTTGATCCTCTAACCAACTTAAGAAATAAATCATTTAAAACCTTAAAAAAAATTATAGGTTCTAACTATAGCGCACGGAAGCAAGCTAGACGAAAATGGAATAAAAAGATGCTGTCATGACAGTAATTTATTGCTGTCATGACAGCCTTCCTGGGCCAATTTCCAGGAGGCACCGTTCCGTCATTCGACCTCCGATCGAAGTGATTTTAAAGCTCACACGTCACATTCAAAGGGTACTATAAGTGTACCAAATTTCAAAAAGATCTAACGGTCGGATTAAAAAATTAGACATGTTAAAATTTTGATTATTTTTGCTGTCATGACAGCTAAAAAGCTGTTATGACAGCACTTCCGGACCAACTTTCGGAGTGCACCATTTCATCATCTGACCTCCGATCGGAGTGATTCCAAAGCCCACATGTCACTTTTAAAGAATACTATTAGCATACTAAATTTTGAAAAGATCCAACGGACGGATTGAATTTTGTGCAGGTTACAAAATCAACACTGTAGCTGTCATGACAGCAATTTAATGCTGTCATGACAGCACCTCCAGACCAAATTCCGGAGTGCGTCGTTTCTCCGTCCGATATCCGATCGACGTGATTCCAAAGCCCACACGAAGCTTATAAAAGGTTTTACTTGTGACCCAAATTTTAGAGAAATCCAACGGTCGGATTAAGATTTGGACACCCGGATGCAAAAGTACAGCTTTTTGGTAAAAACCATTTTCAAAATTGTCCAAATCCCATCCTAATGGTCACAAACCTGTGGAAACACTTTGGACACGTCAAATAAGATTAAAAACACTTGATAGAACATTCAAATGATGGAAAACCCCCATACATCAAAATTTGACCACCCGGGTGCCATTTCCTAAAATGGACCCTAAACCCCCAAAATGCA